CGAGCAATGGATGGGTATAGAGCACATACAGAATGGTAGAGATGGATAACAGAGGTGGTATGAAGTGGTGAGAGGGGAATGGAGAAGTGCAGAGGGGGAATGAAGGTGTACAGATGCAAAAGAAAACAACAAACAGAGTAGTACAAAGGGGAACAGTTCCCTGTGTTTCAACATACTTACCTGGTGTGGTGTAAAAGATTTGACATGTTCTAGTAATGGCAGTCGAAGATCTGGACTGGTCTCAAACATAAGTGTCAGCTGGCTTGGTGGTAACTGAAGTAACACTTGGAATGATTGGGGTTTGGTGCGCTGCAACAAAGGTAAAACATTTGCTAAATTTATTATATTAAACTCATCAATAGAAATACTTGAAAAAAAAAACATTTTCTAAATTTGTTATAATATATGCATGACTAGAAATACTTGACAGGGACTTGAGTGGGATGCACAATTTGCATGATTAATTTTGTATCTGACAATTAAGTGAAAGGTGCCTTTCAAAAATCCACAAACATCTTTTATAAACTTTAACTTGGAAGGTTTTTCCCAACACTAAACCAACACTAACTAAATTTTTTTTATTATTTTTATTTAATAATATTCTCATTCAACTGTGGGAAACCTCCACTCAATAATGTATATTTGATTTTGAATTATGAAATGTGTAGGCTCCCGGCACCGTGACCTTTGACGATTAGTGCCTTCAAATTTTTCCAAAAACGTACTTCAATAATGACATATTGATTAATATTGTATATATTTTTGGTATATATTTCAGCTGCTCCGGGTTTCTTTCCAATTCTTCCTTTATTCTTTCCGTTATTTTATTCATAATTTCAACAGATTACTTACACATACAGTACATTTATTAAGTTTTTAATTATAATTGTTTATGGGTTAGTCATGGTATACTTGTTCTATAATTAACGTAATTCAATCTTTGTTCAATTTAAAGTCAGAGATATGTCCTGGTCTTGACCACCCTAGAGTTACTCTCAGGTAGGCTTATCTTCATATGACTTCTATGAATGGATGCCTTATTCGAAGCAAGAAATCAAGTTGCCTTTACTCAATATTGTTCATATTTTTATCAGCGGGAAATCCTACTATCAACAATAATGACAAGAGGCACATGGAAAACGAAGACAATCTTAGGATTTTGTCAGTCAGTCAAAAAAAATCAATATAATTGTCCTCTGTGCAAATATATCTATAGATATAGAACCATATTAGTAGCATTAACATTATCACAAAACATAATAATATGCAAAAAATAACATCACTAAATCCAAAATTTGTACTTTAGAAACAAGAGAGAGAAGACACTTACAGCAGAAACAAACAAAATGAACAAATAAAGAGCACATAATTTAGGAAAGACAATTAAGGAGATGATTACAAGCAACGTATTATGTAAGTGAACTATTCACCTAAAGAAGAAGCGTACTTTGTACACAAACACTTGTGTTAATAAAACTCTCAACTAGTTTTAAAGTGCTACTCATACTTGCTTACTGCTTATAGAATAGTATGGCCCACCACATTTATAAACTAAAATAACATTCTTAAAATAACAGTTACGTTGTATAATGCTTAACATTCTACTGGTTTTAATTACTGTAGCATCAACTTGTGGAATAAAAGTTTATCCCTAATTTGAGCTGTGAAACAAGGTAAAAGTAATATAGAGAATTTGGTATAAATAAAAAAGTAATAAAAAAGTGATATGCATAATGCTGGTGGGAAATTATAACAAGAGACGTGGGGAAAAGTGACAAGAAAAAGCTTAAAGTCACTCAAAGGCTGAATCATTAAATCAGGTAATGCAAGCTGAGCACTTAGCCAAACTACCAGTTTATGAAATCCAGTATACAGGCAAATATATTCCATTTTGAAGCTGTACCTCACAACACTTGATAAAGCCTTCCCAGACTTTAGGGTACCGCCACACTTGCTTCACTATTAACCGCTGCAAAATATTCATTGCGAAACCAATGAGACGGGGGTACATGCTCAGGGACTGGATCACTGTCCGCATCAAGAGGGTAGGGATCGGGGTCTGTTCCATCAGTTGCTGCATTACAACTGCCAACACCTCCTGGGTGTAGATATTCTTCTGACTGAAGCACAAACTTGTAGCTAATAATAGAGTACAAAAATGCAATTGGAAAATTATTTTCATAACCTTTATGATTGGTCAATCAATCAATCAATCAATCAATCAACAACCCAACAACCAATCAAATTTGTTATATCTATATCTATACAATCATCGTTTTATCAGTAGTTTCCCATTTATATATTCATTTAACTTGCAAAACAGCATAAAAAACTAAAAATACAGGCTTGTAAACATGCAATGCAGGTATAATTATAATACTAAATAGCAAAATGACAATTTTAGAAATACTAGCTATTAAAGCCTGTGTATATAATGAAAGCACATTGGAAAGGTCAAATTTCCAACATAAGATTGCTTGTGGCCCTCAGTGTTAAATAAAATATTTAGATTGGCTCTCATATGCAAGATCCTCTGCAGTGTGTACTGAATTTTTGTATTAATTATGTGAGACATTTCAAAGGCACAAACGAAGAACACTCCTATTAGCTGGACTCCTACACCAAATAAATAATCAATTTACCTTTAATAACAGACTTCATGTCACACTTTGACATGTCGAGGTTGTGCAAAGCTACAAGAAGTTCAGCAGGTGTGAGGGGGCTCTGACCAAGGCCCCCTTCCTGGTGACTCATAAGTAATCGGTGGAAGACTTCTTTAACTACGTTTGGATTCAGTTTTATAAGTTTAGGAAGAGCTGCCATTACTTCACTCTGGAACATAAGAAGTGCATAATTATGAAACAAAATTCTCAGTAAAAGATAACCTGTGTTTACAATAAACAGTTTCATTGTATCAAATGCAGAATACAACAGTAAGAATAGCCTATGTTCACCATTAACAAGTAGTCTATAATCATACTAAGAAAGCTCACTGCCTCAAATTACAATAAAAAACAACAATCTTGTTCTATGCACACACATTCCTACATAAGATCAGATTGTGTTAAATTTCAAATGATTGATCGATGACCTCAAATTACAGTTATATAATCATTATTGTGTAATATATACATACCTTCTCAAGGCCAATCAAGACGGGGATTAGGAAACGCACATCAGGTACGCGTTTCTGGTACAAATCACGCACTCTCCTGACAAGGTCCTGAGATGGCGGCACTGAAATTAAAAGCAATATTAGCATTTATATGTATCCTTTCAATCTCACACACCAGTGCAACAGTATACAGGTATGCACAATGCTTTTAAATGTACAGTACTGTATATAAACATTTACTTAGGTCAATAGTAGATAATCAGGAAGTACAATTCCCCACAGAGCTTGAAGTGGGCCTTCTTGGTTTATAGAAAAAGAGCAATGCAGACATATAAAAAATCTCACCAAAGTTAACAAAGAAAAACACAAATATACTATAATTAAATGAAAGAGTGATGGCAAAACAACAAAAATTGTTGGAAATAAAGATGATACTAGATTCAGACTTATTCAATGGCCATTAAATGCATTGTGAATTATAAAGGACAAAATAAAAGAAACAAAACTATAAAAAGAATTAACAAAACTGACTCTAAGTATATGGGTCTACTAAAAAAAACAAAAAACAAAAAAAAATTAAAGTACACCAAATGATTACACCAGAAGGCCTGGGACTGAAGGCATGAAAAAATAAGCAAGGTAGCCTAGGAAAGAAAATTATGGGACTACTTGAATAACTTTGTTTATAACTACTATTAGTAAACAGATGTGTACCGCATTTGCCATTTCAAACCTTCTAACAATATTTGTAAATACAGTAGTTTAAAACCAAGACTGATACTAGCCTTCCTTACCTTTATCAGTGAGTATATGTAGCATTCTGGTGATGAGAGTCTCAGCACCTTTGGGTGATGTTTCTAAGAGTGTTAAGAGCTCTGGTGATGACATGCCCATGCCACGTACAGGACTTTCAAGGTTACGTAAAACGACACGTTTGATTGTTGCTGATGCCGCCACATACACAGTAGCCAATCTGTAATTAAACTTGATTCTCTTACGATCAAACGTTATATAAATCTAACTACATTACATCAAGGTTATTTAATTAACAATGCAATGTGGTTAATGGACCCACAAAAATCTTTATGTGTATGGTACTGTTTTTAGATGTCTGAGCTGAAATATTTGTCAGGATTTAACCTAGAACTTTTAAGGTCTGGCCACACTATCAACTTTTTATGCGACAAATAAATATATGTCCATATTTAGGTGTACATGATATCATCATGCCGACATATGGGCACATCACACAAATTTGTCACTTTAATAAAGTGGACTTAATATTGGTCTATCATATAATGTCTGATAAAATATTATCTGTTGAAAGACATGAATGTGTGTATGTCTCAGGGTGTCATGTGACATGTAATTTTCATGTATTAAAAGCTGGCATCATACAATATGGTTACCTTACTTTAAATAATATAAACCTATTTAAACAATTAACTAAATTTACCAACTTAACCATGGTACATTACTACTCCAAATTAAAAAACACAGCAAAGAAAATATTGAAAAAGTTATGCTCACTCATGGATTAGCTTATGGTTAATAGGTAGAAGGGCCAGATATACATTGAGACATATTTTGGCAGTGTCTTCAGTCCATGTTTTACTTGCTTCAACTCGCTGCTCTGGTGACGATAAGGTGAGGACTAGGCTTGCTGGTGGCTTCTCACTTTTCAAGTGTCGCAGGCTTTTAGTTGCATAATTCTGATATAAAATAGAAGAATTTCCATATGTCCTTTACTAAAATATATACTATAGTAAGAAATCATTATAATTAGACAGAAATATATCTTAACAAAATTACAACAATCTTAATGATCACATTTAAGCTAGGCCTAACTGTTTTATTAAAAACAGAGTGGATACATTCACATACGCAATGCACATATTTTGTTGTTACTAAATTGACAACAACCGAAAGCCAGTGTTTGCATTGGGAATTGATGATTAGAGATTATTGTATGGAAAACATGTGTGCACAAATGAATGGATGAATGGATGCATGGATACATGAGAGTGATGAATGAATTCAAGGAGAAGGATGCATGCATGTAGGACTGCTTATTATGACTATTTCCTTGCATTTTTCAGCAATGACCTCAAACTGAGAATATATTCTTAAATACCACCTGACAGGCTCCATGAGCTGTATTTCATCTGGTGCTTCATCTATTTTTTGTACTTAATATGTGTATATTTGATATATGATTATGAAAAAAAGAAATAGGCAGTGAATGAGCTTAATATTGGTTAATCTAATGCTCTTACTGTGCGTATTTCATATATGGACCTTATTCTATGTATTTTGATTTCAATAAGGACATCACCTAACAAACTGGGTTTAGATAATGTGTCACCTACCTAACATATGGTTCAATTAATATGCAATTATAGTCTGGTTTTCAGTACACTATAAGAAAAAATGGCTACTAAGGCTTATATTTACTATAATGTACAAAATTACTTGATTATAAGTGACTTGTAAGTGACTTATAAATAAATATATACATCTAAGTATATATCTAAAAAATAAATATATATCATGCGATACTTCAATGTGCTGCCTCATGTCGGGCTTCTCATAGAACCTCTTGACATATTGTGTTGCCTGGGATCTAACTTCAATCTTTTCATTCCATGTGAGTTCCAGCATATTGTCCAGATACCGTTCCATGTTTGCAGGTCTCTTTAGTATAATATCACGTAGTGTTTGCAAACCAACAAAAAAATGAACCTGGCAGGAAAGAAAGTCAACCATTTTTAAAATCTGAAAGAATGAGCTAAGTAAGAAAGTGCAAGGCTAACTTATTAATGTAACATAAGCTTATGCCACAACTGTGGCTTTATGGGTGTGAAGAATTCAATAGAACTTAAAGATACACACAATGATTGTGGTGCTAAAATGCAATGCTAACTTAAGCTTACATAAGCTTCAATTCCAAAAATTAGAACATATTTTCCTTGCAAACTAACAGATACGTAAGTACAGTAGCCTCTGCAAATACCCCCTAAATCAATTGACTAATTGGTTCAAACTGCTTATTTGAATGATTTTTAAATGAACAATTGAATATACTGTATAGAAATATTTGAATGTATGCCTTACCTCATGTTCACAGAATCGTTTGATAATCTTCAAGGCATTTGGTGTGATAAGCGGTGACTCCAAGCCCAGTCGTGCAAACACACTATTTCATAGAGAAACACAAGTTTAGTAAATGCATAGCATTTATTACTTTTTATTACATTTCTTTTCAACTATGTCTGTCTCTCTCCACCCAGGAGTATAAATGAGTACTTGGTAGCTCATGAATAATGAGTAGAATAAAATTCCTTGGGTAACTGCACAACTAGGAACACTCCCAAAGAATATGAGATGGTTGCACATAAGATAGTATAATACATACTCCAAGTGTTGAAATGCACGCCATCATGTCGGGATTCAATATTTCGACATTAATTATGTGATCATCAGGAATGAAAAATTATACACAGTTGCAAGCTTACATGCACAAGGACCAAAAGTGTTTGACCAATCAAAACATTACCCCTAGTAGGTGACATAGCTATAAATAAACTAAAGATCAAAGCATTCTTACCCTACTGATCAAAGCTACCTACAAAAACAAAGCCCATTTTTAAGCAATGGTTGGACATTGTTAAGCAATGGTTGCACATTGTGTGCGACTGATTCTGCATGCAATGAGCAGAATAACACATACAATTTGGTATTATACACTATCCAAAAAAAAAAAAAAATAATCTTGATTTGTTAATCTTACCCATCTCTTTGATCATCTCGTACCAATAAACTCGCTAATATATTGCAAAGTAGTGAATCATATTGCTCAAGAGAGGGCATTTCATCCGCGAGAAGCAGCATATAGCCTCTGTACTTGGCATACTCCTGGTACAACCACGCAAATGCCAGGTCAATATGTACCCGAAGGTCAGACAATATGTAATCTTGCAAAACTGAAATGCACACAAGTTTATTATTTATTTACTTATTAATTTTACTATTTTTATTTATTAAGTATATAACACTGAAAATGTAACAAAAGTTAAAAACTGCTTGATTTCAGATAATATGCCTACCATACTAAAAAAGGCTATTATATTTACAGAGAGAAGTAGTGTGTTAGTGTGACAGTTGTAAACAGTGTAAATAATGCTACATACAAATTTAATACCTTACCATTAACTAGTTCTCCTCCAAATTGTGTTGTTAGAAGAACAATCATTTTATTCCTAGCTTGTGATGCTGGTCCTTTAAGATTTTCTGAAAAAAAAACCCCAAAATATTAATAATAGCAATATTACCAACAACAGTGGGACATCCTGGTGGTGAAGTCTACCATGTGAAAATCCCTAGCCTTTAGTAAGAGTGTCCTGCATGCTTCAATATGCACATGGGCCATATTGCATTTTGCACATGGGACCAACAGCCAAAACATTTCATCCAAAAAATGGTGCACTGTTGAAATCTATTTTTCAGTCCTCCAGTTGAAACACAAAGTTATCAGATGGACCTAAAGCAAAATTTATGTGAAGGTCTCGGCAGTTTGGCACGAACATTGGCTATCGCCAGTTGAGCCTATTGTGTCAAGCTGCTACCTACACCAGCAGCAATAATGATAATGATGCTACAAAATGATTGGTTCTTTGAATGATGCATTTAGGTAGGACATCCTCCAAATGGACCAAGATGTGTTCTGGGGACTGCTGTGTACTACCTTGTTAGTGGGACATTTTGAATAAATATGCCAATGCAAAATAAAACACTTACTCCCAGAATCCAGTATTCGTTGTAATGCCATCGTCATCATTCTTTCCTGCAGGCTGGCACTGATAGGCTTTGTCACTTCTGAGAGTTTAAATTGTCTGATTCGCTTCATTCCTTTTGGTACTGCAAATTGCGAGGGTTGTCGGAAGTTTTCACTTGAGCCACTAGATCCTCCTGAATTTTTAAAGCCATAAATATGTATTAATTTGATTAAACATAATATGTAGATCAAAGCAATAAATTTTAACTACAGTTGAACTTGCCTTAATTGAATCCAAAATGCCATTGAAAAATTGTTCCACTTCAATAAAATTTGACTTACAGATAGTTAATTAATGGAAAACACAACAATTTAGCATGTAAAATAAGATCGACTTAGAAATTATTTGACTTAGGCAAGTTTAACTGTATTTCTCAGATAAATTGATTTGATTAGAGGTGAAATATTTTGATAATACATAGCGAGGATTAGGCACACATTTTAAAAGAGTAACTTGTTGTTTGACATACCTAGTACTGTTATTTGAGAGACAGTGTATGGGGATTAGATCTATGACTACTGTATACCATAGGTCTTTGTGGTCTAATGGTATGACACTCTTCTTGATAGCAAGAGGTTCCAGGTTCATTTCCTACCAGAGACCTTATTTTGCATACAACTGAAAACGGAACTTTTCATTGAATGGCTATGCTTGATATGATTATGACATCATATGTTAGCATAGCATATCAACTTCAAACTTCCATATCAATTGTTTGAAAAAATTCTCATGGCGGGAAAATCTATGACGTACCTCATGATCACTTGCACCGAGATCTTGTAAGAGTGTTATAATGCGAGGATGAAAAGTCTCTGAAGATGGATGCCGTAGTATAGAAAATAGGTGAAGTTTTAGATTCTTGCGTACACTGCTGACCTGAGACTTGGCTAACGTTGGGGGCAGGTTTGCTGTAAAATTAAATTTTGTCAAGTTACAATATAAGTAGTTTCTTTGATTGACAGTTCTCTGCAGAATGTTCTTAGTTTTTACAGTCATTATTTGTTTCTATTATTAAAGCAATATCTATGCTTTGTATATGTACTGGGGACCGTTTGTTAAATAAATTTTAAATGGATTTAGATAGGGGATCATCCTTTGGATAGGGGATCATCCTTTCTTAACCTTCTCCATAGTATACTGAATTAGTCTTGTTTCTGTTTCTTAGTTCTTGAATTATAAATGAAGATGTATTGTATTTTGGAGTCAAATCAATTAACAACACATAATACATTACTATTATCTATGACAGAACAAATAATCATTATGTTAAATAAATCTTACCATGTAGAGCTTCTAAACTTTCTGTAACATTTTTCATAAACATAGGTCTTTGCTTACAGATGGAGGTCACTGTCCCCATACACGCTATCAGATTCACACTACAATATAAAAAAACAATATTTAAGCTAGGGAACCTTTTAGAAAAGAGGAAGGAGGAGTCCCTTTTCTAATGGCCGCTAGTTTTATCAGAACAATAACGCCATTTGGAATCTGATATGCTAAACATTACAAATGACGAACGTCATAAGCTCTGCAGGAAACACATAAGTTTTAAAGTCAGGTTACGGAGGGGGAAAAAATTTTGATATGTTGTAGAACAGATTTTTCTAAGACAAAAAAAAGTTGTTTGACGAAAAACTGGGTAACGGTGAATGAGATACAGATTTTTGAATATTTAAAAACTGTGGTAAAAGGGGCGGTTAAATGTTACACCTTTTTCCCCCAGTTTTTAAATATTCAAAAATCTGTATCTCATTCACTGTTCCCCAGTTCTTGATCAAACAACTTTTTTCTGTCTTAGAAAATTCAGATTAACAACATATCAAAAAATTTTCTTCCTCCGGAGTCTGACTTTAAACCAAACTTGTTGCTTGCTGAACTTGCTGAATAATAATGATGTTGAGAAAAAGGAACAAAACATGCTTGGGATGGACTTAGTTGATTCAACATTACCTAGTGAAACTTGGTGAAACAAGTCAAGCTTGGATTAGATATGGTTGATTGAACATTACCTTGTAATACTTGGCGTAGCCATCAGTTTCAGTAGCAGGTCCATGCCGTTCAGTCCATCAGCCTTTATATAACGGTGCTTCAAAATTTGGTGGTCTTCAGGAATCTGATTAATGAAACCACAGAAATTTGTTACGGTGGGTGATCAAATAAACCTGTTTACTATAATTAATACACAAGACTAGCTGACTGCAAAGACTATAATCAGGCTATTGAGATAACAAGATGACTGACTTCATGATAATACTACACTTGGAATTCTAGGTGTCAAAGGAATTAGTCCGTTTGGCACACAGTTAGAATATACTTGGCCATGAAGGGCAAACAACTTGTTGGAAGTAGAAGACTATCCAAAAAAGGAAGGATTTATCTGGTAAAACATAACTGACAAGGTTAGAGGGTAACTACCTGGTCAAGGGATATCTCATTTTCCATTCTTTTTGGAACATCTGAATCTGCAGTTCTTGGAGATGATGTAACAATCAACATCTCCATGAATTTAATGGCATGTGTACGAACACTAACAAAAAAAAGACAAAGGATTAGAAAATATTCAGATAAATACATGCCACAACATAAACACCCTAAATATTAAGTACTATATCACAATAATATTGAAGTTTGTATTATCAGTTGAGCCATAATGCATATGAGCATTTTTGTTATAATGACCAATGAGACAAATACATGTGGGAAACTTAAGCTCATTGATTAGGGGTATCTCAGCACCAACCACTCATCTTGTTAGACATGGAATGACATATTGTTGGGTTGAAGTCCATTACAGAAAAACTAAATCAAGAAACAAACTAGATTAAACATACCCATCATTTTCTGAATCTAACATTGCCTTTATCTTGGACTTCATATCTTTAAAATTCTGCCACATGGCTTCCTTCTCCTCTTGTATGGTTTTTGATTTTAAAATCCACTAAAATAATTAAAAATAATAATAATAATAATCACAATTTTTTAATGAATTGTAATAGATCTATTCAATATTATTACATGTAAAAAAGTTACAATATTTCTTTTGTTTTCTGTTCACTTCTGTCATATATTTAAAAAAAAAAAATATTCTGACTTAATTCTAATATAAATGCAAGGCAAGTTGTTCACCTTCATTGCCACTCGGTAGAGTTGCGCATTGCACAATATAACCCTCTTGAGGACTGCTACATTCTGAGCCGGATCACTTAAAATCATGTTTAAGTGCATTACAACAGTAACAAGTAATTCATTGTCCTTTTTACTGAGGAAACAAATAAGAAAAAATAACAAGAATTGTTATACAATAAGATGTTTAATTATAATTTTAAAAAATATTAATAGTAGGTTAATTGTAAAGCTACATTTTAAAATTGTACTGTGCAAGCTACTGTAGTTTTAAACATAATTACATCATTCCTATCACTAGACCTGATGAAGCCAGCATAGACTGCTGGCGAAAGCTTGTGTAATAAATAATTGAAGTTAGTCTATAATTTATAAAGTGCTACCAGTGTTTCATAAGTTTACCAGACTATTACATGTTCCATTTACTTTTATATGTATAATTCCTATTAAATCTCCAGACACAAACATCTTTGGAATAACATTTTACATGTTACTAAATTTGAAAAAGATAATTTTGTGTAGCATACCATAATTATTTTTTAGAGCTACCTAATTTATAAAAAATTGTGTGAATACATTTAGTATTAGAAAAATGACCAAAATGTGTACACATAATATCGAATGTTACTTACCAGGCTTCCTCTATGAAGCCAACTACAAATTTCCTAACATCTGCAGATTTGTCATTCTGAAACTGAAGAACCTCCTGTAGAGGAAAAAAGTCATGTGTAGGACACAATTCACTGGTAAGTATAATTTTGAAAGAGAAAATGTGGTAGGTTAAAGCACAGTGGTGTATCCACTTTTTTTTAAAAAGAAAGGGGGGGGGGAGAGTGGTACTGAATAGAAACATTATTCTGTTATTACATCACTGAACTTTACTCAAGATGCAAAACTAGTTTCGGAGTATATCATTGGCTTTGACAATACTATACTAAAGTAACTTATTTTAACCAAAAGGTCCACTGATTAATCTCAAATAAGCAAGTATATTACATACTCCAAGTATTGAAATACACATGATGGCTTGTATTTCAATACTTGGGAGTATTTATTATACTTTCGTAACTTATTTTACTATTTACTTCCATTAATGTACTTTTCACATTTGAACAAAAAGGGGTACTCTCCTCAGGCATTATGAGCAAGGTTGTGCCCCTGATTGTACAGAATCTTTGAGAATTAAATCAACTGATGAATAATTTATAATGTAAAATAATTTGTGATTACATTAACAGGAGGCACTACACGCTATATTTGTATGTCGAATAAAAAGAACAAACTAGTTCACACATTTCTAACCAGACTACTAGGCAACCAAGGGAGGAAGATTTTTAAGCCTAGGATATTTTACTAGCATAAATTGATTCATGCAGAACAGGTCCCAAAACAGAGTGAATTATAAAATACTTTGCACCACTGTACAAGGATATGACATGCACATGGCAGCCCCAAGAAGGTACCCAGCAATTGCAGTTGCCAATAAGCAGCCCCAAACTTAAAACAAACTTAATCTATAGAAGAATAAAATACAAGTGATTTTTATTGAGCCCTATCTACCTCTCCTGTGAAGCCCCATGATGAAAATTCACAAGCTTCAAAGTGCTAAGATGCGAAGTACAGTACTTACATCAAGAAAATTGTCAAGTAAATTAGGATCCTTATTGACAATTAACTCCTGCACTTGCTTCAAATTGTTTATCTTTTGCGAGTCTTTGGTCAAAAGCTGAGTTTCATTGATCAATTCAACAACCTTTGAAACAAAATAAAAAATTAAAAACCAAGTTTTAATCAATCATTATTCTTTTATAAATATTTATAAAATACTTTTTTGTTGTTTCTTGTTTTTGTGCATTTTAATGTAGGCATATGTACGGTCGAACAAATAAATGACATAAAGAACCATTATTATTGTATGATGCCATAAAACCATACGAAACCAGGCATCCTACTCATTCCTTCCTTAGGCCTAGGCCCCTCTCCCTTTCTACTACCTACGCTGTAAGGGCCTATGCCTAGCCTAGCCTTGGCAATTTTTGGTAGGAATGAAGCTTAGTCAGGGCTTACTAGCTAGGGCCTAGGCCTAGCCTAGTCAGGGCGTTTTTAAATTGTTTGTGTGGCATGAATATATTAAAAAACAAAATTATGATTATTATTATTAATTTGGCTATGCTTATAATTAGATTTTAAATACAATAGTGTTTTCTATTGTTCTATGTATAGTGTTTAGTGCGCCACTTAATGTCAAGTGAATGTATGATCAAACAACATCCATCGACCATGCGGCCATAACCGACCTTGTCTGCGGTACTAATCTGTTTAGCGTTAGCTTGGCTTGTATCAGAATCTTCTTCAGCAAAAAATTGGGATGCTATAGAACGACGGTTGTTCGTAGACATTGTGAAACCTCCAAAATACTTTATTAAAAATCAAATCTTTTTCAGGATCCTACAAACTATCGAATATTCATTATTTCAACCAATCAATTTCCAATAAAAATTTATATAAATTACAAAAAATTGCAAGTTCTTCTAGCTGACATGCTAATAGCGCCCTCATAGATAAATTCGGTAAGTAGACTCGGCATCGATCATCAGCGCGCAACGAACTGATTATGCCATTATACTGTCCAGTACATGTTTATTTCCGACTGGTATGAGTCTAGATACAGCACAGCGTAACACCAACACTATAATAATTCCATACTTATATAGCGCATTCCGCAAAAATCTCAATGCGCTTTACAAAAAGAAAACAAGCAGTAATTTTTACAGGTGGGTCTTGGCATGACACTCACTAGATAACAGCGAGAGACGTTGAAGGTTCGAGTTCCATCAGACACTTTTTTCACACGACTGAAATAAAGGAACTTTTCGTTATTGTGATTATTACAAAATGTTTCTGAGCACTAGTATTGTTTATCTATTTGTTATATTGTGTTTATTACGTCAAACAGCAGACTTGATTTTTATATTAGGCCTATATGTTATAAACATTTCAATAGCAGAGACCCAGACCCGGTGGGGGTTAGGGTAGCACAAGTTAAATCTATCGATAGATGGCTTAGCCCGGTTTGTTCTGGCATACAAGAATATAATAAGATTTAATAAATCACGGTCGACCAGTCATACAAGTATTTTAACCTATTTTTTAACGTAAGTTTTCAGGGGCGGATTTTCATGGCCCGGCTCCACTTTGGGAAAGTCAAAAAAAAAAAAAAGAAACAAATTTCAAAAAGAAAAAAAAGAAAAAAAAAAATGATCGCCCAAAACGCCTCATAGGTTATTTTCGGGCGTCTAGAGTAGAAAACAAAAATTTCGCGGACCCCCTGGGAGGTGTTATCTCGATCGGCCCCACTTTCGCACCCCCACCTAAGTACGGCTTGAAATAAATAGTACCGGTAACAAATAATAATAAATCAACATAGCCGTTAACACTGTCAAATTATATATGAATAATCAAAGAAAGGAAAATACGACGATTTTTTAGCACTATCGCACGTGACTAAACTACCAGAGATAGATACACCATGATACACCATCTGCATTCAGCTTGATGAATCTCGAACTAGAAGCCTACTTGTATATAAGTGATTTAAACGCATTTATGTGAAAAACCAAGAAACAGCAAGCACAAATGCAATAATATAAATTGAAAAGTAACCACAAGAATTTATTTTCATTTTATTTATTTAATAAAAACTTCTCACATAGGCCTATATAAATACAAAATGTAGGAGACAAGCCAACAAGTGATTAAAACCGCTACCAGGGCTCGCTCCTTCCAATAAAAATACAAAACTAGAAATATAGATATAAAAACTGACAGTACAAACACCAAAACAATAAAATTTGAAAAAAAAAAACAAAAAAAAAAAAAAAAAAACAAAAAAAAAAAACAAATGGAAAACATCAGGTAGTATGCTAAAGTAAAAACTACACAAAAATAAAGGAACCACAAGAAAAATCGAGAAATCTGACAAGGGAAAAAAATCACAGCCTCCACCGGGATTCGAACGACATGGCTAATTATATGCCAAAGGTAAATTGAATCCGTGGTCTAATGGTTATGACGTTCGCTTTGACATATGGGAATTAAAAAGAAAGGGCTATGAGTACTCTCTGAAATTTATCTTGATTTTACCATAATCATGCCGGCTTATATTTCGTGCAAACTAACATTTATAAAGATAATGATTTATTATCTACTAATTAGCTTTTGACATATTCAAACCATAAACAACAAAAAACTTACAACAGTCACTCTATTTTAGTCTCTTTGCATGTACATTACATTTAAAATCAATTAAGAGGTTTTTCCTTTTCTTCGTTTTTGAATTTCACTTTTGTGCAATAGTATTGCCCGACTACACTATTGTGAGTGGAAATACTGCCGTCTACGATAAAACAGGACTAGGAGATAGGAAGCACACAAAACATTAGTTAGCATTTTTATTTCATAAACATGAAGTTGATTTACATAATTTATCATGACGCCATGGCAAGATTAAACGTAACATTGGAGTTTATAAAATTCTATCCGTGTCAAATTCTGTACAATTATTGTTTAATAATAAAATTCAATTGACTAACTATAATTTCTTTAAATTAGGAAAAAAAAAACAACAGGAATCTATGCATGCAGATATCAAACAGAAGTATATACGAGTTTTAATAATATACAAAAGGAATAAATCTTTATAGTAGAAATTGTGCACATTTAGAATTGTAAAAATGTTGGCCTACAAGGTTTACACGCTTCCAATTTTAACAACGTACAGTACATTGTTTTCACAATATATTTAGCCTCTGATAACCGTTGTACCCACTGGCCTATTGCCGTTTAGGTCTGTTGCCGTCTTGGTACTTATAATTGCCATTTTGGTCTATTGCCGTTTTGAACTGCTACCGTTCTTTCCACTCGCTTTGAAAAGTTTTAAATATAGAAGATTGGTGAAAAGTGGGGGGAAATTGTCCCCTACTTTCAAAAGTGGTGGGGGACGGTGGGGACGTTTCCCTGTCTCTTACCAATCGGCGCCCATGCAGACACCTATAAAAAAAAACAGTCTCTCGCTTTATCATCTTTACAATTGCAACTAAATTAGAAATCTTTTATGGGAATTATGATAAGGCCTATTTAGCATAAATTTCATGATTATTGAAATATTAATTATGCAAATCAGCAATTAGCATATTCACACACAAAAACAATAGGCTCCGTCTTCTTATCAATTGCCATCTTGCATGCCAAGTTTGAAATCAATCAAACTTACCAAACTTTAGTTATCGTGGTAACAAACAATTTACTACCAACGAACAAACAACATGAACATGATCACAGGTTTGGGGAGGCTAATTAAATATCACTTATGAAAGGCTAAAATTCCAGAGCTTCCAGAAGCTTCTCTCTCAGAGCCCACCGGGGAACAAGGTGGTCCCCCACCCGAGCACAAGGTGGTCCCCACCCAGTCTAAGCCAAAGGCTTTCTTTTTTCCCATTCACCGCTGGACACCATCCCGGTATTTCTAAGTGATTTTGTGGCATTTCTTATATTTAAAGAAAGTATCTCTTCAGTGATCCTGTAATATAAAAATTCTTAAGGCGGCGGCGTATCACATTGATATATCTCTGTTTTACGTGTGTATGTTGCCGCCAACAAAAGCCCCCACCCCTCACCCGTGTTGCCTAAAGAATCCGTATGTAGCAGAAGATCCCATGTTCGAATCCCCGTGGTGTAGTATTTCATTAAGCACCTGTAGTAGTTGAACATTTTTTAAATGATGTAAGAATTGTTAATGTTGTTGTAGACTGCCTTTCCTGATCTCAGTTTCTTGAAATATACAGGGGCGAATTTAAAGTTGGCCCGGCCCGGCCCCCTTTTGGAAAGTCAAAAAAAAAAAGAAAAGGAAAACATTGATCGCCTAAAAAGGCCTAAGAGGAGTCTAGAACTCAGAAATGTCAGGGGGGCATGCCCCCGGTCCTTCCATAAGGTATTGTTATCTTGATCAGCCCCACCTTTTAGACATCTCTGGATCTGCCCCTGATATATTCTCATAAATTGTGATATTTTTGCTCAATCAGTACATAACCATCTAATTCTTATCAGCAGTCCAGTCTTAGTCCAATAATGTATTGTTATAGTATATGATAAGAGAAAAAATATGAACAATGAAGATGTTTGGCAGATCATAAATTTTTACAACAAATCATAAAATATTTCAAAAGAACTTTATTCACAAAGTATTGTATTTGGGTTATAACAAGGAATTGTTTAATTTGAAATTTCAGAGGGGTGTTATCACTGATGATGTCATCAAATCTAAAATGGAGAATTTCAGAGTGCCGTAAATTTCTAATTCTAAAAAAATTAAATATTTATCAACTGCAATTTTTTACACTATATACATTTTAGATATCTATTAGAAAACCTCAAGTAATGTAATACATTAGGTTTCACCATCTTTCCATTCTTAACCTCTTTATCCTATATATACAGTAAATGCATACAAAAGTCTATTCTGCTATTAGTAGTCAAAAAGTTGTTACTGCATTTTTAGTAGGAAAGTGTAGAGTGATGTGATATTTAGTAGTCTATTTCAAAAAGGAATACTGTTTTAAAATGCATATAGGCCTACCTCCATGTGATTAAAAAAATCATACAGCATACCATTGATATAAATGGTAGACAGAATGAAACAAGAGAAAGTATAAATGGTATACAAATAAATAGTAGACAGTAAGAAATGAATGAAGGTCTTAGTCAGGTTTGAAGTCATTCTAATCATCACCCTCTGCATCTTCGTCTTCCTGCTTGATTACAGGAACACCTGCAATTAAATTAACAAAAAAATAATTGATTTCACATTAAAGCAAGAACATTTGCCAATTAAAGATGAAATTATGCTTTATTAAAACTAAAACCCCTTTCACACTAACAGAAAAAAATTTAACATTCAACAATTATTAACAAGTTTGATTTTCCCCAGATATTTCATTTGTATCACACACTCAATCTTCAAGTCTCCCCAGTCACCCTCTGCTGAATGTTAGTACATGAATTAGAATGTATTTTGTTTCATAATATTTGTAAACGTTTTGATTACCATCTAATTTCTTAAGTTTTGGTAAACGCTTGGTAGCTTGGTCTCGCCAGTCACCTTCTGCTGAATGTTTCTCCTCAAGTGGATTCCCTAAAAATATTAAATCATCAATAAAACTAATTTTTATTATTATCATTTATTAATTTTTATTAGACTATTTACATTTTAATGATTCAGTATTTAAATAGAAAGAAATAAATCGTACATGCTAACATACTGCCACATGGGCAGCAGTCTTTATTTAACAAATAATTCCAAAATTGTAAAAATTAAAATAAATTAATACAAATGCAGTAATGCATCTAATGAAGTCAATAAAACTTATCAACGACATGTTTTGACAAGGGGTTTACTAGGGGTCGGACTGAGGAATCCGAACCAAGGGGTTTACTAGGGGTCGGACTGAGGAGTCCGAACCAAGGGGTTTACTAGGGGTCGGACAGAGGAGTCTGAACCAAGGGGTTTACTAGGGGTCGGACAGAGGAGTCCGAACCAAGGGGTTTACTAGAGTCTCGGTCGATGGACCGGAATAAAAAATCCCTGGTAGGGTTCACGGGGACAGTTTTTATGGCCTAGGGATTACCAATCAAAATAATGTTATTTGGATATGAAAATTATTTAAAAAAAAATTTGGATACGACGACCTAGTCAGATGACAAGGGGGCCCAGACCTGTCTGACAGGAGGGCAGATACCCCCTCCCCGCTGGCACCAGCATTGAAAGGGAGCAAATGTCAGAGGTGCAGATCATTCAAATCTAAAGTTCTTCAATAAGAAAAAAGGATTTTTCACTGAAACTAAAATCCCAGATATTCTATTCACAGGGTTTAGACTTTCCAGTCCCCTGTGACTGATGTAAAGGTTTTAAACATCAACACATACCTTCAAAGTCAGGTATGCCCAAGATAATGCATGTGTAGATGTTTTAAAAAAGAAGTAAAAATTAAGGCACAATGCTGGAATCAGCCTACTTACCTACAAATACGAGATCTTCCAGGCAAGGCAGACCAAATAATTTCTCAAATTCTCCGAAATCTTTAACGTAGTTATTTGACATATACAGTACCTATAGATAAGTTATAAAAGTAAGTTCAATACAATATTATATACATTTAGTTTTGAAGCTGCAGCAACAAAAATAGAGAATTGAACAAAGGCATTAATCCAAAACATACTTTAAGAGTGAAGTACTTTTTAGCATTAAGCAAAGTCATTGAGATTTAAAGGATTAGTGTTAGGCACATGGGTTGTGGTTCTGCTTCTCAACCTTGAGATTGAAGGTTCAACCCCTCGCTGTGACTTTTGCAAGGTACTTAACCTAGGTTTGTCTCTCTCCACCCAGGAGAACAATTGGGTACCTGGTAGGTTTAAACTCAAAATACACTGATTACAGCTACAATATTATGGGATTCTCCCACAGGGAGCTCAGTACAGTATGTGTTCAATATGTGCTGATCCAATGACTTGGGGGGGGGGGGGGGGGAATAATAATGTGAAGTGCTTAAAGGCCTTATTGGCATGAAGGGATATGAGTTTAACATATTATTATCATTTTATGTGTCAGTGTTAGCCATTTGGATATTCATATCTAATATGAATGAATGAACTACTGACCTTTAGTTTCTTGAGTATTTGTATGCCTTTCAGTTTTTCTATGGCATTGTAGGATATCCACAATTCTTCCAGTGTATCTGCCACAGCTTCCTGTCAATCAAAATGTAAATATATAATTAAATAATAAATATTTTTTATAGCATATCGAAACAAGTCTCTCTATGTGTTGAGCTAAATACATTGTTCAAATACAAAAATCAATACTGTATTTGCACTTTCTATAATTTAAGTTTTTTCAGCATTTATTTAAAAATTGAAATGAGAAAAATGTTTACATGTCAATTAACAACAGATGCATAAGTCATTTCTCTTCTGCACAGACCTTAAATTGGATTGTATTGTAAGTCTGCAACAAAAGTTGTTGTTTTTTTATCTGTGTATTACTTTAAGTTGATATATCTTTTATACTATTATATGACCTAATCAATGTTTTAACTTCTTATTTGTGTTTTCCCCCCTGATTTTATGGAAGTTGGTATTAACTAGCATAAATTTAAGATAAATTTAGAAGCAAAAAAATAATGTATGTTGAATTAAAACACAGACAGCATCATAAGCAATCAGAAAGTGATTATGTTCACTGTTGGAGTCTCCCGGGCCAGCATTTGTGACACTTTTTTTGTTTTGTGTGTTTGCATTTTGCTTATACTATATGTTGTTTTTCAGGAATAAATTGAGTCAGGTACATTTATAACATCATTCAGTCCGTAGGTTCTGTGATACAAATTTTTTATTTTTAATTCAATTTCCTTCTTTGCTTTATTTTGTCAATGATTTTCAGTTTTCTCTAAGGTTTTTGTTAATTGAATTTATTATACTTAAAAATTATTTTATTGTATAAAAATGTATAAATATATGAAATAAGCATATTAATATTTCTTTACTGCAAGGCAATGAAAGAGAAGTGAATATGAGACAATATAAATTTTGCATACATTCTCAAGGCTGAATTACAGAAATTTACAATACAGTGGTGGATCCAGGAATTTTAAATAGAGGTGGCCCAAAGAGATACTTTCACAAATGGAGGGTCTATACTACCTCAGCCCTATCATGGTTGGGGCTGAAATAAGAAAATTTATGATTATGGCACCTCTAGATGGCCAGAAATGGCACTCTTGGACTTGAATTTGAGTAGAAGTTTCCCAGGCCCCACACCCACTTGAATCAGCCACTGAAAATATGAAAATTTACTTCTCCCCACTGTCCACAAAAACTGCAGAGAATATAGTATACAAAATTAATATCTAAATATGTTGCATAAAAACTGAACATAACCAATTTCCACAACAATGATGCAGATATAGTAATCATATATGGTGTGAACTGAAAATGTTCCTTTGATGTAGCACTTCCCAAAACCCCACCCCTATAGATTTCCTGACTTCTTCTGATGGACAGTGGGTCTTTTGTTTAGTTTATATTTTTTGTAACTGCACCACTTTAAATTGCACTTAAAGTGCTTGCAGCATAAGGAAAAAATAAATAAAATGAATGATTGTATGATTAGATTAGATATGTATGGAACAATATACACAATATCAGAAACTGTATGACCATACAATGCCTGGAATTGTGTCTGACAAGCACAAATATAAACTTACCACACCATTTAAATTCTTGATGTTGTTTCTCCCTAAGGACAAAATCTTCAAGTTTTCTAAAATAGGTTAAAAACAAACATTTTAAAAGATTGTTTGAGAAATAAACTGTTGACTGAACACTTCAGTCTTTTATTACATTTTACAATAAAAAAAATAATTAAAAGATTCTTAAATATTACTTACTAAGTCCATTCAGGTTGGCAATTTTTTCTATACAATTTGTTGAGAGAGACAGCTGTCTATAAAGATGAAATAGAAATAGCTGCTGATATCAAATTATTCATCTAGGTGTGGCTAATATTGAATATCAAATTTGTTTTGTTCTGTAACATAACTTAAAAGGGAATGTTAAACCTTAACCAGCAATCTATTGGAAACACTAATCATCACAGTCTGCGACTCCACCAGCTCTTCACCTTCACCCACACAACCCATTTTTTCACACCCACTCCCCCTCCCAATGGCAATGAATCCTGGATACGGCCCTGAATAGGGCTAATTGTGTATCTATTACTAGCTACTACTAATATAAAATTATATATCTAAGCAGAGCTAACATTTGTGTATGTTGGTGTCAAACATTGTCTTCAATTTCACAATGACAGTGAAAAAAGATAATTGACAAAATATTGTCATACAAAAATATTAATAGGCTACACTTTATTCATAGTATTAAAAAAAGGTCTGTTTGGTATTACTGTACTAGGACTAGCTACAACACACTTTTTTTGTTTAACAACCAAATTAGGAATGATGTTTTCCCTACTTTCACACAACTAATAATGAACACTGTATCACAGTTAGTACCTCACCTGAGGTGTTAAAAAAACATTGACATGTTTATAAAATCTCCTGACGAAAAACACCATCGGAATAACAAAAAATATTTAATAACAAAAAAAAAAAAACCTAGGCCCAGTAGGCCAAAATTTAATAATTTAAAATTTAGAAATTTAAGCTTACTCGCATGCAGCAAGAGTTGATAACGACGCATCCATTTTCTCAATTGGTGGTATCTGCATGTATAATTTAACTACTTTTGCTTCTGATGGTGGACATTCCTTATTTTTCTCAGCCTAGAATACATGATAATAATATAGTAATTTAATAATATTGTATGTAACATTAAAACTTAAAAAAGCATAACTTTTCCAAGTTTAGAATTGCTAAGAACATTTTACTTTAAAACTAAATGCAGGCCTAGGTACCTAAGTTTCTTTTAGCTGCAGAGTCAATGATCAGTAAAAAAGTTGTTTTCAAGTTTAGGTAAATATATTTAAATCTGCATTAAAATAAATCAAAGAGGTAATAATAAATAATGAAAATTGGTCTGGCCTCCTCGCAAATTTTCATTTTCACATTTATGATTTATTAACATATAGACCTAGGGCTACTTACAAAACATTTTATAACATAAATTTTACTTTTTCTAAATTCGCACCACCACTCCCACGGTCTTGTATATAGAGCTGCCCAGCTGCAATGTTAGTTACTAGTTTTGGATGGGTCATATAACAAGACACCCAATCTGCAAGTACTGTATTCAAGCAAAAGACAAGAATAGACCTGTTCACTCACACACCACTGAGAGGAGAAGTGAGACTTACCCATTTGGCAAGTGCATCTTTGATAGTTGTTCCTTTTGACTGTAAAATTAGGAAAACGAACAGACGTCAAGTCAAATGGATTCTGAACTGTTTTAGTAATCGCAGTAATTCATCGCATTATAAATGATTCAATTTAAAATATATTAATATTCTTACCATCTTATTTCCTTTGCAATATCCTATCACTAGCCTACCTTACGCCTAGACTTCCACAACACACAACAATCATTTCAGCCGAGAGCTAGACGTTTTTTGTGTCCATGGTAATTTGTGAAGAATGATGGGAAGGTATTCGTAACAGAATATTTTTAAATTGCCTAAGTTCTATTGTTTTAAATATATATATATAACATTAATATATATATAAATATAATATTTTAATATATATATATATATTCAGTGTTCTTCTTGTAGGTTAAATATTATAATGACTGTTATATTATTACCATAATTAAAGATGATATACAAGCCAAGTAATTTACAAAATGGCAGCCGCCATAACGACCGTGAGTGTTTTGCTTGATGATGTAGTAGGCCCTAAGCTATATTTTAAAGAAAGGGTTCACATGATAAGATTAATGACACCTGATTCAAAAACACTTCCTTTTGCACTAGGCCCTAAAAGTATGGTTAGGTTAGGGAGGGTTAGCTTTTAGAGTAAAACCTAGCCTAGCTAGCTAGGGTTTTTAGGCCCTAGCCTAGCCAGGAGGCTAGACCCTTCTTAGTTAGAGAGGCTTTAGTCCTAGTTTAGTGGACTAGGTAGACGCTAGGCCTAGGATATGGAAATTGGATTCCATCGCGACGCTAGCCTCTTTTCCTGTCACTGTCAACTGGTTTACCCCCAGTAACCTACCTACCTGGATCTACCTGGATTCCGAGATTTAATTAAAGCTTGGAAGAGCATTTGTGCCCCTCTTGACTTGTTAAACATCTGCTTGGGTACGTACTGGCTGTATCTCAATGGATGGTCAGACCGGTGCTTTTTTTTTTTGCAGCAAGTTCCAACAATTTATACTTCTGATGGAGAAAACATTTTCTCTTGCTTTTGACTTTACATGTGGTTTATGTATCTTATAATGATGTCCTCTTGTAGACAGTACTTCACTCATAATATCGAAGAATTTATTTACATCAACATTATCGATATAATGGTCATAAAGAAAAGCCTTATATGGCCCTAAATGAGCTCTATATTATTGGCCCCTCTAGTACTTGCATAGAGAAATGTATTTTGTTTGGGTTGGGCCATAAAAAAAATGGTAATGGCTGTATATTTATTATTAAGCGCATAGGGCCTATTACAATAGTCTCTATTATGTGCTTGAAATAATAATACATAATATTACTAATGTAAGTCTTATATAACGCATAATATTGAAGAATTTATTTACATCATTACATAAAAAAAAGTTGCCTCTATGCGCTTTACATAAACAAAAGAAACATAACCATTGAAATATCTTAATACTACAAAGAAACTAATAAAGAAAACAGCATAAAAGGTAGAAAAATCATTTCCACTGCTCCGTTCACCAGCACTTTGAAGCCCCAAAAGTTAGGGGCTTGCTGGAATAGTACCACAAAAAGAGCTCTAAAATGTACATTAAAATGGTAATAAATGCTAAAGTAAGTTACTTACCCATAAATGTATGCCTAAAGTTTTTAAATTGCGTGGATGATACTTCAAAAACCAGCTCAAATTTGCACAGAAAATTGCTAAGAAATAGGTATGCAGAATCGTAATTACTAAATACCGTAATACATATATTAAGATTAGGTAAAAACCTAATTTTCGGCAAAATCTGTGCAGAAATCAGCCCTTATTTTACGAAATGCACTGATGGATTTTTTAGGCGGAGGATAATATATTCCCTGCGCCTTACTGTACTTTATAGTCTGGTAAGTTACTTTGTTAGAATTTATGGTGTAGTCATAGCCATCAATATGCTCCGTCCCTAGTTTAGTGCCTTGTGTAATATTTCTATTCGGTAGGCCTACTCTATTTTTCAAAATTCTGGATATCAAATGCCACTAAGGGTGGGCCGGTGAAGAGTTCCCCACTCCCTGAAATTTTGTTGTTAAAAATATGTGGTACTATTTCCTTTTCAGAGAATATTGTTTTCAAGTAAATTGTTCCATCAATCAAGAATTCAGTTATTGAAAAATCTTCAAGCTGCACAGAGAATAAATCGGTTTGTAAATTATAGTTCTTGTAGCTATAGTCATCTAGAGAGGCGGTAGACACTATAGTGAAGAATTGAAATGCCATTATAAACCTGACACTGTAAATATGGTTCCAGTAGGGGACAATCAATGATAACAACAACAGATTACTCTTAACTTTAAAGTAAGCATTGGACACATGCTTACTGGTATCCTATTGTATTGTTTGCTTTTGCAATTATATTTGAATGAATGTGTTTTGATTTCATAATTCATATATATTTACAGAAATCTTCAACTATTTTCATTTACACGATGCATATCTAGAGGTAAGAATTTAGTATACCATGTTTCAGCCCGATCCTTTTTGAAATCATGTATTATTAATTATTATTTTCTTCTTTCAATTCAAATTTTTTGTGCTGATTATTATTCTCTCTCTTGTGATTGGAAATTTTTTTTCCTACTGCCTACTTGTCCTACTGTGTATAGCATTATTTTGATAGATAATAATATCAATAATGTTTTACGTATTTGCATGTATATGTATAGTAGGTATGTACAGTAGTTGTAATTATTTATTAGTGCATAATGCTTAAGTCATAATACTTAAGTCATAATGCTTAAGTCATAATACTTAAGTCATAATACTTAAGTCATAATACTTAAGTCATAATGCTTAAGTCTGAAGTATGCACTAGTACGGACAGGATGAACAAACATAACCATGGATTCAATTGTGAAACAAAATAAACCAAAAAGCCAGAAAAATGCTAAGGGAACAGGATCATTTTACCGTTGCAACCAGGGGGTGGCAAAAGGGGAGTTCACCCCCTCTCAGGCAGCCAACAAAAAGTGTGAAAGAAATCAGTTACGAGAATTTAATGGCTAAATAACTGGAGCTCCAGAGGGTATAGACCCCTTAAAATAGGTAACGAACACCTCAACCCATAACCCATCCCCTCGACTATATAGTAGATCTCCTGCCCAATACTATAGGTGCTCGGTTGCCACTTGCTGGCAAAAAATCCTTGATCCACAACTGATTATTTTTCTGCAGTTTATCTTACCACTAACATTCAAATTTCAGGGTTCCTTTGTCACCCAGCCTGTGGTACAGCTGAAGCATCTGCATCCATCCGTCTTTTTTCTGACAAAGTTAGACAAGATGAGGTAAATTATTGTAATTATTGCATTTTTTATAGTAATAATAATAATAATAATCATAATAATAATTCTCATTTAAAATGTACTGATATGTGTCATTACAACTCAGAAATAAAGATACAATGTTGTAAAGTTAAGTACGAATGTAGACATCAGTTGAAAAAGCTTTGTAAATTGTAGCTTAGCTGAGAATGCACTCGGGTAGTATCGGGCACATGGGTTACATTGTTCAGTAATGAAGGGGTGTCACATGGTGTTGTAATATTGGCAAAGTGGTACTCAGTGTTAGTAATCTGTTTTTGTAGATCTGTTTTTTAAGTCATTACTGTAGACGTCTATACTTCACTTTCTTTTTACGTTTTGCAGAACTTCACATTTTATTTATAAACATTTGACTTCTTCTTACTACTATACTCTATAATTCCATTCTTCCTTCAATTTCTTTAATTACCCATTTCCTGTCAGTACATGCACAGCCAGTCTCTGCCTTCTCTATTTAATTATATTTAAATAGGATTCTGTTTTTGTTCATTTTCGTAATATTTCAAAGGAAAACAAGTTTATATTCTGAACCTGATTTTGTGATTCATCATAGGATTAATTACAAATATAATGTAATGAAATTAATACATACTTTTCTAATTATTTAGTCAAAAATTGAAACTACAGATGAAGAAGATGAACTATACAAATGGATTGAAATTAGGGTGAAAGGTCATGATGAGTCAGTGCTTGACAGTTATGAGATGTTTGTTTCCATGGCAGCCAAAGAACTGGAAATAACGCTTGATAGTATGTAAGTAGAGTGAAATATTGATTTGCAATTTAATATATGACTTGCTGTGAAGCTCAAGTGCTTCACAAATTTATAACCCTAGAAGCATTGAATCTTGTCTTACTGATATACATTAAACATTATGAAACCTCTTCCACTGAGCTCACTAGAATATACAAACCTTTAACAAATAATATAAATGGTAATAAGAATATTAGTTATATTGATGATAATATAATAATAATAATAATCATAATTATGATATATTAAAAAACCTATTTGCGATTTGATGTTATATGTTTTCTTTTCAGAATGAAACCTAGGAAACATATCAAACGGTTATCTCTGTTGAAATCACCATTTATTCACAAAAAACATTTTGTACAATATGAAATGAGAACACATTACAGAGTTATGTTGGTAAGTCACATGACTAGTCTTTTGTTGTATATTCAACATAGATTTACATTGATTAAAACAACATACAGTTGAAGTGAGTAACTTAAACATACGCATTGATAACAACAACGACCCTGATGCCACCAGCTACTTGGCGCTACTGTCAGCTTCGGGCCTCCATCAACACATAACATTGCCTACACATGCTCATGGATACACTTTAGATCTTTTAATAAAGCGTTGTGCTGATGATCAAGTTGTGTTGAATACGTCTGTTGAGGATGGTCTCTCAGACCACAATGCTATAACCTGCACTCTTGCACTTCAGTGTCCAAGACCACAAAAAATAAAGTTAATTACCAGGAATATTAAAAATATAAACACTGAAGTATTTAAAAATGACATTCGTGATTCATTTTTGGCCGCAAATTTGCTGAATCATCTATTACACAGAATATGCAAAATTATATTCACTGTCTGTCCTCTATTCTCAACTTTGATGCACCTCCAAAAACACACTTGGTTACTATTAGACCAAATATACCTTGGTACAACCAGAGGATCACTGAGGCTAAGCATGAACGTCAAAGTTTAGAACGGATTTGCTGAAAATTTAGGCTTGAAGGGATAATGTCAACTTGATGATTCGAAAATGTTAATTGCAGTAAAGACCAAAAACAACTACTTCGTATGATAGATAAACTCCTTCATCACAAAAAATCCACATCCTTACCTCAATGTGAATCTAATAAGAACTTGCTGAGAAATTTTCAAGTTTCTTTGAAGATAAAATCCACACGATACAAGATTCTTTTCCTAAGCATACATGTAGTATACCAAATGTGATGAATGCCGCCAACAGTGATGTTAAGTTGACAATTTTTTAGCCTGTTTTAGAGGATGAAGTCAGGAAAATTATGATGTGTGTCCTAGAAAGAGTTGCGATCTTGATCTGCTACCTATTGCTTTGCTGAAGGAATGCAGTGATGTTATTGTCCTTCCTTTAACACGCACAATTAATCAGTCCTTAACATCAGGGACAGTTCCTGAATATCTAAATCTGCTCAAATTCACCCTCTCCTACAAAAAGTTCAAAGACACAATGTGCAGTTTCACGCCTATGCCGACGATACTTAAGTATACATTTCTTTTAAGCCCAATCAATCAGATGCAGTAATTGCAATTCATCAATTAGAATTATGTATTAAAGAGATTCAAAAATGGATGGTCTCAAACTACCTAAAATTGAACGATCAAAAAACAGAGTACATTGTCTTTGGCTCCAAGGCACAGTGTAAAAAGCTAGACATTCCATTTGTCAAAATTGGTAGCTTACAGATAAATACATCTCAAAAAATTATGCAACCTCGGCACAGTTCTCGATGCCGAGATAAATCTCAAAGACCACATTTCTGGAATCTTGAATACTTCATTCTTCTATCTTCATAACATTGGGCAAATTAGGAAATACCTGACTAAAGGAGCTACAGAAAACTTAATTCACGCATTTGTAACGTCCTACTTTTCAAATCAGTCGACTCACCCGCCTACAAAACATTGCTGCAAGAATTACCAAACATTTTTAAAGCAACTACATTGGCTGCCCATACATGGTAGAATCATTTTCAAGATTCTTACCTATAGGGTATGTTTATCGGACAAAAACTGGTACTGCTCCAGCCTACATCTCATATCTACTTATACCACTCAAACCACGGCGTGAGGGTCTACGTTCAAACAACAAAAATTTGCTCTATAAACCACGCACACACAACAACTGGGGAAAACATTCTTTTGCATCCGCTGCACCACACTTATGGAATCTGTTACCGGATAACATTAAACAAAGTTTACTTCATCCTTACGATAAATACACACTAAATAATCTGATTAAATTTTTTCAATATTGTACTCTTAGGCATAGATTAAGTTTAGGCCACTCCTGTAAGGGCAGCGGTGTGGGACCCCCTTTAAGGGGCAGCCCATAAATGGAAATGCGAGACGTTCTTTCCCCCCCATGAGTCTTAGGAGTTGCTAAGTAAAGGCACTTCTGAAGCCTCCCCCACCAAGGATACGGTTATTAATTTTATTTTATTTTATTGTTGTTTTTTTTTTATTTGTACTTAAGATTACAAACTGATAATAACTCTCTCGACTTCTTTATTGCACCCTGAGCATCTTTGATGGATACTGGCGCATTATAAATGTTCACTATTATTATTTTTATTATTGAAGTTCTCATCATAGGCTTATTGACAAATTTGACATCTAAGTATCGATTGTAATTGATGTTTGCAAGATTTACCTGCAGTTTTAGGAATATGAAATGGTGTAATTTTAGCTAATTACAACTAATGATTGTTGAATACCAGCGATGATTCTTTTTTCTTATACAGAACTTGTATGAGTGTAGCTGTAGTTTGTGACTTTCCAATCTCAGAATCAATGGCTTAAAATCATAAAAATTGTTTTGATGCTGTTTTTGTAACAAATTTTATACTCTAATATAATTTGTTACATGATAATTCATGCCAATAATTATTTAGTGAAATAATGGGCATTGGTATTGGTTTGGTTTGAAAAACTATGGTTAGTTATAAAAACAAGGTTAACTCAACCTTTTTGTTATCAGGAAACTTAACTTCAATTTTGTTTTATCTCTTGCAGTTTAAACACTTAACAGGGTCTACTGCAAGCATTTTTCTAGAATATGTGCAGAGAAATTTACCAGAAGGGGTAGCCATGAAAATCACAAAGGTAAGTACTGTACTGTATGTATTCTACTGTATGTACTGTATACCCTTCTATTTTGGTTTTCAGTTCCTCCCTTTGCTTATTAATAATTGTTGATAAACATTTAAATATTGAGTCTTGTAATTTACTTGCAGTGTACAGTTGAAAGAATGCCGGAATACATTAAAGCAGATGCTGACATGGATCAATTAGTCACTGGCCTGGATAATGTCAAAGTTTAGCTGTCATTTCAATAAGTTACCATCAGATGCTCATCTAAACCAATTAGTTGTGGCAGATAGAATTTCTCTATGAAATAAGAACACAAAAGTGTTACAGATTCTAATGTTTATTCTGTTAAAACATTTAAATAGTAGTTGTGTAGTTTGCAATTAATAATATATTTCAGTTAATTTATGTGTTATACAGATTAATTAAAGTCTTAAATGTAACTTCCAAGGATTTGTTTATGAACAATACAACAAATGGTTTACAGAGTACAATTAATTTTTAAGTCTTAAAAACGTGACTTAATTCAAGAATTTTTGTAAACATAATACTGTTTGTTTTTTCCTACTGTATGTACCTGTCTATAAATATTTTAAAGGATAGTAATTTTACTGACAATTAAATGCTCAACAAAATATATTTGGAATGATATCAATAATAGGTGGAGCTTGAGGGTATGTTTATATTATGTGATGGATCATTAAATAATATAAAAATCTATATACTGTATGGTGACTAACTTACATTCATAACAAAATGTCATTCATAACAGAATATTGGTTAAATGTTAAGAAACTTCACTATCTAACACATTTATTGGAAACCAGATAAAACAATTACACAGTATTTAAACTATTATGTAAGACAAACCTGGCACATGCATTCAACAGAATACAAAAAAAACATTTTTTTCCTCGGCGTCGCAGCCAACGTTTGTTGGAAATCCCCCCTAGTTTATGTGTACAAAATGTCATGCACGTCCGTTCCAAACTGGCGATGCTGGATGCTTTTAAAGTTTTTGAAGTTTTGGTAACAATAACAAGAACAGCAGTGAGGCTCATGGGTCAGTGCTTTGCGCGGAGTGACCAAACATAGACATCATGGGATTCAAACCCGAGGCCAAACACATCGAAGAAAGGCAAACACAGTGCTTGAACAAAGGACACGATGATACATCGTGCGGCGTCGCTCTCAAAGAATGAGAGCGATGCTACACGATGCACCACCACTCTCACTCGAACATTTTACCTACCCCTCCTTAAGCTTCCACTAGATGTGTATAAGAGACAGATATATAGACGTAAGATCTTTATTGATATTCACCTTAACATAAATGTATAATTAAGACAGAAAAACAAACTACAGAATTACAAAAAAACCAAACCACACATTATGATACTGTATACCATGTATAGACTTTAGAAACACTTTATTGGAGAAACCCAATCTTTTTTTTATCGTATCGAAACACGTACGATAAAAACAAATGTAAGATGCCCAGGGCGCTTGATATGTGGACTAGGAACTCGATCAATACATACATGTACAGTATACACAAACGTATATAAAATCAGCTGCACTATAGGCAAATTGTATCATAAAAATTCATCCTGAAAAATTCATCTACTCAAAGACGAGATCCCAAGGTGCAACCCCCTGGAGTGAGTGACTTTAAAATGGGAAAAGATAAGGTACTGTCCCCACTCCCCAAACAAAACCAATTCTGAAATTGCCACTAGACGACTTTTTAAACAATTCGAAATTCTGTTTAATGTTTTCAAAATTTGAACCATGCTAATACAATAAAATATTGATATTGACACCGCTATCATAATAATTAAAGAATCAGTCTGGAATGTAAGCATATCCAGAAAGAAGCCCATATATTATCCTGATTAGAAGCTCATGGGCGTTTTCAAAATTACTTTTGCAAACTGAAGAGGAGGCTTCTTTTCAAGATTTGCTTTCTTATCGAGATTAATCCCATCGGGCTTCTATTCGAGGTATAGGGCTTACTCTTTTTTCTTCTTTTTTTATAAGAACCAGTAAAATTTTGTCCAGGTTAGTGTTTTTGTTGTTTTGCCAATTTCAGGCTGAAAATGTTCTTATTTTGTTCCTATTTTACACACTTTTGAAAGATAAAAAATATTAATGTACAGCAGTATTCAGTATTATATTACTATAATGTCTTATTACATAGTCACACCGAGGAGTTGTTAACAATTCTCCATGGTCACACCTTCTGGTAAGACCATAAAGATTTTTGTCGTACTTTTATTGGTTTTTGAGGTTTTTAAAAATAAAAACCCGGCCCTTTTGAAATTTGTTCTGCTGTCTTATTTTGTTTTTATTTTCTAAGCAATATTTCAGCCTCAGAGTGCTCTTACGTGTTACAGCGATACATGTGACGTGAAAACAGTTTAGTGTAGTACGATTGGAAGAGTAGGCTATTTTCCCCGCTACCGGTCCCGGATTCGAATCCCATGATGTCTATGTTTATTTTTTAATTCAATGTCCTTACTATTAACATAACATAGGCTTACAGACAGAGAATAATTATGAGATATATGTGTGGAGGATGCACTCGATTCGTTTTTATTTAGAAACTTCGAAAACCAATAAAAATACGAAAAAATCTTTATCTTCCATTTGTTTTAAATCATATGAGTGGTGTAGAAGTGTAGAATACTCTTTTAAGAATATTTTGTTCTTTTATTCCGGTTATGTGTTTGTTTAATAGCTCTATGGTTTGCACAAACCTAAGATACTAATGGCGTTCCATAGAATACGCCCATTGATGTTTTCCGTCCCCTGTGATCAGCCCCCAAAACAGGAAAACAGGAACGAAGCGACTTTATGTTGTAGGCTAGTGGTGATTTTTCCTCATTCTGAGTCTAGGGCATAGGCCTAGACTAAGTAAAGTTTACGACAAATCATGGCGTTTAATAAACGCCATTCGTCAAAGGTAGGTTAGGTGCTAGGCCTAGTTCTTTTTAGGCTGGGTCCTAGCTTGTATGTATAGTATAGGGCGGGTACAGGCCTACGCGCCTGGGTCGGCCTAGGCCTAGCCTAGGACCGTTTCGGCCGTGATGTATGGGGCACATTTCGAGTCAATTACTAATTGAAGAAGATCTGCTAGGCCTAGTGAGTACCGTATAATATTATACATTTACACACTTTTTATGAATTCATTAATTTTGGCATAGGGCTACAGACAGACTAGTATTTATTGTATCTGTACTTTTTTTTTAACAATCGAGAATGACGACGAAGAAGATTACTGGAACCCAAAAACACCAAGGGCGAACTTTTTTGATGATGATGGGGTAGGTCAGTCTTTATAATTCTATGTATTTAGTTTAACTATTGATGCCGAAACACATTTTGTATTTGCTTTTGGAATTTGGCAATAAAAATGAAATGAAATGCAATATTTTGATTAGTTTGATTCCTATGGTCCTTAGGCGAGACTTTTTTTGTTCCTTGTTTCGCGTACTTATTTTTTAAAGATCGGATGAGGGCGGAATAGAAGTAAAAATAAATTTTGTTTTTCTTATCTGGCAAATAGTTTTGCCATAATCATCCAGATGGAGGAGAAAATGAAAATAAAATTTAGTTGGATCATAGCTAAGTGTGTAATCTGAAGACAATAATGTCATGCAAGTTCAACAATTCCACCAGATAATCCAAATGAAACTCACAAATGGCTGTATTCAGCAGCCTTTCGCGAGAATGTCAGTTCCCTAATTTATTATAAATGATTGTGAAGCACAAAAACACATGTTGATGGCATGGTTGCCATAATTTTGTCCGAACCCACATAGCAAGCTTCCACTCTGCATACAAATACAATTTACATTAGGTATTACAATACGCTGCCATGTGTTGCTGTGGTGGTGCCTATCATTTAATGATTAGTTGTACAAGATTGTTATATAGTACTATGTTATGTATTTCTTCCAGATCTGTGCAGGTGCCTAAAAAATTATGAGTTACAAATCTTTTTTCCTCAAATTTATGATCATAATAATATTTTATATAGAACAAATAAAGTAAATTATGAGTTACAAATCTTTTTTCCTCAAATTTATGATCATAATAATATTTTATATAGCACAAATAAAGTCTCTATACCATTGCCAATAGGTAGGAAGACAACGATAAGTGGATAAATAAGCACAAAAAAAAAACCAAAAAAAATCCCCAACCTAGCACCGAGCGTTTGATTTACCCAGTATCGCATTGCAAAATGTGAATCGTTTTAAACTAATTGCGAAGTACTTCCACAAATGCATCATAATAAAATGCGAGGCAATTATTTGCGTAGAATTTCAGTCTTCAGCAAGGCCTGGCTGTAAAAACTAAGTTGGTGCACAAAAAGTCCAGAAAATTGTTTTAAAAACAGTCAAAATCAAGTTGTTATCCAATGTTTTGGGCCAAAAATAGCGCAATATGTTTGTTTACATCGAGTGCACGCATACAATGCTACATGTACATGTTTGTTCATGCAGCTGGTTTGAGTACGAGTCGGCTTGTTTTCTGCGTTTACAATATTACCTTATATTTTGCCACTCCCTCTGTTCTGCTTCTCCTGTAGATCGCTTTCGCTTACACATATACAGTGAGGAGTAAAGTTGCTTACTGTCATGTATGTATTGTACTATCGCAGCACATTTAGATGTGTAGTAGCAAATTATCTTACTTTTTTTTCTCGGTGCTGTTACTCTCTCTGTTTGAAACAGGGCCGGACATTGCTTGCAGTGAATAAGTACGACAATGGGAGTGAGACAAGCAAATGGCCAGTGCTTGTCAGTTGTCACATGGTCAGTAAATTGGTAATCACGGCCAGGTTGACTTCTGCACGGGGTGGGCATGGGAAATTTAAAGTAAGGGAATATTATGGGGTATGTTTCAAAATTGTTTACCAAATAATTGAGCGCAGTTGCGATTCTAGTAAAAATGGTGTATCAGTGGTATTTATTGAAACATTAAAATCAGTGAGGATGAGCCAGTCATGTTTTACTTTAATTACTTTTAGTGTTGAAAAATAAATATGCCTCAGTGTGATTTTCTTATTGAAAAGCGTCGTTACTTTTCTTGAATAATCATTCATTATCTCAGCAGAAAAAATACTAAGCACAATATTGGAATTCCTACACAAAACAAAAAGTGCATAGCAATTTTTGCCACAAACATAAAATGCTGGAAATCGAACGCTGCTAGCACCCCAACCAAAGTGTCAGGTTACACTGTATTGAATGGCTAAAACTAGTTATCCTTGCTATCATTTATTGTTCTTGTTATTGTTTATTTTTTCCAGAAAGATACAGAGGTAATTGATTGGACAGGTAACACTATTGGTGATTTGTCCACATCTGATTCCAAGCTTGCTACTTCAGCCAGGGGTTCTAACACGAAGACCAAAGCTTCTTCAGGGATATCAAGGCCAATTGAGATCTCTCATCATTCTTCCAAAGCAGGTAGAAATCAGGATGCTCCCTTCATGTCCCTCCCACCAAACCCATTCCCGCTAACTTCAATCAAAAGTAATCACAAAAAGTCTGCTAGCCTCACCATTGGTAATGTATCTGTAATTTATATTTATCTACTCATCTTTCCCTGGATACAATTACACACACTAATTTACTCTTGTGCATTCTGAAAATTTTACCTCTGCAAATTATTCTTTTAATTTTGATAGTTTACTTTATTATTAATCAATTTTTTAGACTGTCCAGTTATAGCTTTACAATTCCATATTTTTCCCATCAATCAATTCATGGAACTGTAAAATTATTTATAAAAACCTATAAATAATGGTAGACTTATATAGTGCAAGCCCATTATCACATCATTGATATGAAAAATCAGGTAACATATGATTTGAGACAATTTTTTGAAAATACTTAGATCACAGATAAAAGAAAATAATTACTTTCAGGGAAAAATTATACCATTTTTAAAAAAATGACCATTAAAAGTTGAAATAAAGCAAACATCGATTAATGTATTATACAAGGAAACAAGCAAAGGTTGATTTAAATATTTTAAAACAAAAATTTACTTCTTTAATTATTAAAATTGGATAAATTCACATTAATATTAAAACAATTATTTTGTTTGTTTTATTCCTTTAGGCACATGGCCAAGGATGACCAATAGCAACTTAATCACTGTCCTATTAGATAGGTAGCAGTCCCTTCACATGACAACATAAAACATGATGCTTTACATAGACCAAGTCTCATATGAGCCTTAGAGAGTAGTGTTGTTTTGCTTATTAGAAAAAAATGCTGTTACCGTGACAGGAATTTGACCTTTACCAAGCTATTCAACTCTACTAGAAATATGTATAAACTTCATGACTTCATGCTTGTTTTGTGTGTCATAATTACTTTTTGTTTAATTGTGATAATGATATGTTAATTATGTTTCAACAGATGACAAGGTGACTTTGTCAAAACCATTCAATTCAGCAACATCCATTGAAGCAGGTATTAAATATTGTACAAAATAACAATATTCACATTTTTTGTCAAAATATGATTTTCTTGAATATATTAAATTGACTCTCTTTGTTTTGATACCTCAGATTTATGCCTGTACAAATCTGCACACCAATACCTGTCTGGTTGGTTCCTTTAAAGGGTGTTGGACAGTATACTAAAAGAAGAAAAATAAAAAAAACTAGTTTTATATATTGTCACTGCTCTGCATGCCTTACCTAGATTTATAATAGACCACTGATGTGCCTAATTAGGATAATAGATTGACAGAATTGATAAAATTTGGTATTAATAAAAAGTATAGTATGTTTAATTGAAACATGTATTTAAAAGCTATTTGTTTCTTGAATTTATTTATTATGTTTGAAGCTGTAAGAAAGGACATGACGCTAAGTCACACAGAGGTCTCCAAGTTATATGCAGAAGTCGCTTCTTTAAAAAGGGAACTTCAGGTAAATAAAGAAAAATGACATTTATAATAGAAACTAGACAATTTTATTATTGTAATATTAATTATTTTTTAAGATTGCTATTATCACTTGGAAATTAATATAAAAATATAAAATTTAATACTGAAACTGATCATTCTTCTACCTCTGGAAAATAGAGCTCAAAGCGATCACGATGGGCAGCCCCAAAGGTATCGGATACAATCATAAGGATGATGATGGGGGAGTCGTACTCATTGGAGATGTACAAGTCTCTACCAGACAAACTGACTCTCTTGGATTCAGCTATTGAATACCATGATGGCAATTCCATTACTGCAGTGAGTAATCAAATTTGGTTTTCAATTCACTGATTATTATTGTAATAATAATCTTATAATAATGATAATTGAGTGTTATAATGTGGTGGAACACAGTGTTTGTTCACAGCATCAGTGTGTTGTCAGATGCAGTGGTTCCTCATATTAGGGAGATTTTTGATTTGTGCTACATGAATCTGGAACTGATATACATATATGTGACTGTCCTACGTTCATGCACAGCGTAGATTCAGCCAAACTGCGTTTTAATCTATACATCAAGTACAGTACTCTATGTTCTTGCATGCGTAGATGAGTTTGTGTGACGGTATTACGTTCTAGGTCTTACCGTTGTAATGCAATCTAACTGCTACTTCAATCCAAGAGCAACAGCTCTACCTTATTGAGGATAAGATAGATAGATAGGATAGGATAGCAGTATGTTCGGTGTGAATGACACCAAGACTTGTTTCTAATGGGGTCCTTCTGGTGGTGAATTGGGCAGTACAATTCCTTACTCTTTCCGAAGAGTGTACATGGGCCATATTGCAGACAGGAGCAATGGCTTAGGCGCCTCATACAACAGACGGTGTAACAGATTGTAACTTGTACTGAGTGTGTTTCACTCCTGCAGCAGAACCACAACAGCGGCGAATGGAATTGCACCAGAGACAAAATGATTTCCATGGTTCAGCGCACGCACAGTGGCTACCATCAATTTAGCTGACTGAGCCTAGCTGCTCTCTTCAACTGCTATGACCACTTCGTTATTTAGAGGGTAAACAGTATATCTGACCAGTATATCTGACATAAAATAGTTTTTAATATTTTTACTAGATTGTTCTGTTTCTCAAGAAGACATTAAAGAATAATATATTTATTACTGAGCTCCGTCGAAGACCTATAGCAGTAAATCACTACGCAGTTTATCTACAATCAATGGGCGATACTGAAGCATTAGCCTCTGAACTCCAGTTAGTACAAACCTTTATTTCCAAATGCGATTAATCAGATTAATTTCAGTAATCAGTTTCATTATTATTGCCTTAGGTTAAATGTCATTTAAATATGGTTTATTACATTGAAGTTGAATAAATTTAAATAAATTTAGATATACATTTAATACATGATATTTCATCTTTGCAGAGTTCTTGGTAGAAAGGAAGAAGCTGCTGTAAGTCTGATCATATATGAATTTTGATTAATAATGTGCACATATCCAAAGCCCAAGTTTGTAACAGATTGCAATCAGATTTTCAAAATACATGAATTATTCCCTTGAAGTTTGTCTACTTAATTGTAGTGTATGTAAAAAAAACATTAACAATTGCTCTTTTTAAATTGTTCTTTAGATGTGGAAGTATCGACTCGCTCTCCAAGAAATTGTACCCCAAGTCAGATATCAGAGTGTCAAAAAGTGTACTGAGTAAGTACTTAATATTTAGCCTTAGGGGTAGGTGTAATTTTGGAAATAAAAAATAAAAATAAAAAAAAAATAAAAAAAGAAAATTGCCATTTGTAGTCATCTGGGGTGCCATAGACATAGAATGTTGTATCTGAGATAGTTTGGACCTGCCATTGACAGGGGCGGAACTGGAATTTTTCAAACGGGGGAACAACTGTTTCAGAATAGGTAAGTAAGTAGCACATATGCATAAGATAGTATAATACATACTCCAAGTATCGAAATGCATGCCATCGTGTTGGGATTCAATATTTTGACATTAATTATGTCATCATCAACAGTAGTGGTGTTTCATCACTAATCAGCCAAAAATAAATTACTTCTGTTTATGTTGCCTTGGAATTAACAACCTTATATAATTTTTTCCACTTTTCAACACATGCAGATCTCTAAAAAGGTTTTTTTTTTTCCAAGTTTGCATTTTGAAGGGTACAAATTACTTCATGGTGAAACAGTTTTTTTGCGAGAGCAGTGTTCATTGATGAATAAACAGATGTTGATTGAGGTAAGGCTTTCATCAACTAAATAAATGAAATAATGTTAATGATATGATAAGGTATAACAGATGTTTACTGATGTAAGGCTTTCATCAGCTAAATATATGAAATAATATTAGTGACATGTTAAGGTATAAAGCATTTTAGTGACAGACTTGAGCTTCAATTCATACACTTTATGCCTCAAGTACCAATTGTAAAAGTATTATGAACAATTAATAATTATTTTCCACTGTAATTTAGCATCAGAATGATAGTTAGTCCTATCCTTGAGCTACATGGGTCATCTTATAAGATCTAAGGTGGACTCTGTGACTTGTCAAGCCTTTTATAATTTATCTTGTCTTTTTCTGTGTTTGTGCATACATACTTGAAATAAATTTTCATTGTTATTTAAGGATGAAGATGCTAAAGCAAGTAAAGAGAAGAAGCCTCCATTTGGGCACTGTCAGAGAGAAGCGAAATTATATTTTTTACCACTGATAACAACACTATATTACTGCTGTAAATATCATTTTAATGTTTCACAGGTGAGAAAAGTCCAATCCAATGAATGTTATTTATTTTTATTGGATACAGAATCAATCACACACAACATGCAACCTCTGCTCCTGGGGAGGGTGCCTAGTTATAGTGTGTGACTCTTGCAGCTAGGCTGGTAGACAAAGACCCACTTACTGAACTCAAATACAAACATCAATAAATAGAAAAAGACATAATAAATATAAAACTGTTGAGAAGCCAAATAATGTAGATTATGTGCAATCTGAGACATTAGTTGACATTAAATGTTTAAAATGTGAACATGAAGCTACAAAGCACCTGTCTAGTCACAGACCATGCCCATACGCAATTCAACACAATGTTGCTGCAAGTTACGGGTTTATTTATTCTACCTTTACCGCTACCCTTCCTTTACTCATTTCGTGGCCTAATGTGCTACAATGGGACGCAGAGTATATGTAACTTAAGGTGAGGTGAGACTCACTAAGCTGTTGGTACAATGCTCTAAATCATTTGGCTATACAATGTACCATTTTTCAAAATCTTTGATTTAATTTTATTAGTTTGTTCCATATTTTGTTCGTATTTATATTGTTTACTAGTAGTGATTTTTTTATGGATTGCCAACAATGAACTAATTATTTATAAACTGCATCATTTACTTTATTTTTATGCTTTATTACCCTATGTTCTCTGTAAGTTGACATGGTTGTTTTATCCGTGGCCTAGCTTCTTAAAGTGTCCTTGGACCTATTTAGACCTCTTTCCACTTATAGGAAAGTAAATGTATTATATCTCTCGTCAAAATTAAAACCATTGTTTATTTTTTGAAACTATATTTTAACACGGCTAATAATAATGTATATTGTTATTTTCGTAAGTCATCTAAGAGTAGCCCGCAGTCTTTAGTTAAAGAGTTTAACATGACAGAAAAGCAGTATGTGATGACAGCAGCAAAAGCTTGTGCAAATCAACACAAATGGGAAGACTTAGAGACGCTGTTAACACCAAAGGTGAATAGAATTTTAAAAGATAAAAATTATATGTAGGCCCTAGTTATATTGAAAATTATATTTTATCTCATCGCAACTTACAACATAATAGTATTGTAAAATAGCTTATAATGTTGGTACTTACTGTTTTAGGGTATAATTTCCTGCGTAGCTATTGTACAATACACTTGTATGAAGTGGTGATAATACTGTCACATGTTAACTGGTCGAGCTCTGGACTTGTGCTCTACCTTCCCGAGGTCCTCGGGTTTGTCATGCGTCGGATTAGTAATATGCAAATGCACTGACCTGGAGGTCGTAGTGCCTCAAAGGCTGGGTGTCATGAACCCTACGAGGGTAGTTACTACAATAGGATGAATAAACTGGTCAAGCCTCAAAATTTTTGTTGGCATACTGCTGGAGGTGTGGGCAGTGACATATCTATGGGAGGATGTAATTTGATTTGTTCAATATTCAACAGCAATGAAAATTGCAAATAACAGGATTGAAACACTACAATACTATATGAGTTAAAAGTCGATGTAATGGTTAGGTGTAATTTTGTAATACATTTTAACATAGCTATAGTTCTAATACATTCATTTCCTCTATTGGGTAATTTGTAGTACAAACAGTGCTTTAGTTATGTTATCTTTCAGAAATGGCTAGCAAAGACCAAGAAACCCACAGTGGGATTTGATAGGATTGTGGAAATTTTAATAAAAGCAAAAGCCCCTCATGATGTAAGTACATAAGCACAGGGGTCCCAAGTTGGAAAAAGCCACTTCTGGGAGATCTGGTTAAACAAGATTTTTAATTCTAATTTATTAAGCTTTGTCATTTTATTTTTGGTGATACGAATCCCTCCAAAATTATTATAGTAGATGTGTATAAGAGACAGACGCCACTGTTTCTGTCCTGCTAGAACTAACCTTAATAATTTTGTTTTTGACGAATAGACCTATTTTTCCTTAAATAATTGTAGCTGTGAAATCAGGAAGGTATTTCAAAAATGAAGAAATATCGCAGCCAAATAGCAACTAAATTAGAAATCATCTTTAAGCTCAACCCATTACGGACATTATTAGTAAAACGTTTGATAAAATAGCTCAGAAATATCCAATGTACTTTAGTAAATGCCACCATTATTGCATCATTTCACACAACATTGCCATTTGCCGTTTTTTTCATGTGGGAGTGGTCCAGTCCCCTGTAGATCTTAAGTTGCATGATTGAACCTTCAAATTGTCTTATATAATCATTGATTATAATTTCCAGAAACTAGAGAAGTACATGTTGTTAATGGAGGACACAGATAAGAGATTAGAAACTGCTAAGAAGTACAAGGTTCATGCTGTTGTGATTGAAACTCTGAAACATATGCGGGATCTGAGAGGTTTGCAAAATTACCAGAATGAGGTGGAATATGGGTCAAGGGAGCATACCCAGCTACAAACACTTCTGAAGAACACGGTGAGAATTAAATGTTTTAAATAATAATTTTAATTATTATTTTAAAAAATTATTACAATTATTTTTAAAAAAAGAATGTTAAAACATTCTTTTTTTTAAAGTAGTGTTTGCTATTTAAAATTCAGTTACTGTATATTTTATTTCTTTTCATTAATTTTTCCCTTTAATACATAAAAGAGTTAATATAAAATGGTCATTCCTCTAGTATTTTGCAAGAAGTGACCAAAAGGTCACAGTGCTCTCTAACCGGTTGATATTATTTTAGTGTAATTCAATGCTAACATGAGTATAACCCGATCTATAATTTTTTTTCCAGAGCATTAAATGGAAGACTTAAAAAAACTGTGGCTACCAACTGTAGTGATAGTGCCAGATACTGTGCTGTCATATAGAGCTTTTAGTCAGCCTAACATCCAAAACAGTTTGTATCCGTTGAACAGTGTATACAAAATATGTTATTACAGAGTTACTGCTTCAAATAAATTGTTTGTGGGCAAATACATAAGTATATACCGTGTTAAGTAAACTGCCTCAGTGAAATAGATGCAGATATGGCTTGCTACGTATAAGTAGAGTACAGTAATTGTAAATATTTTAGTAGCATTCTTCTACATTGCCACAAACAAACAGTAAATGCCCAAGTATTGTAATGGTATTCTACACTATAATACAAATTAATACTGTATTGAGTGATAATTATGTAGTATACAGTCTTTCAGTACTTTTTCATTTATTACAAAGTTGACTCAGAATGAAGAATAAAATACCTGTAATATTGGTTATTTTATTTAAGACCATATTTTAAAGCAAAAATTATAGGTATATTTTTCATGTACACAGATTGCATTTACAACATATACAATTGAAATTATACATGTAAATTCTAAGCATTATGGAGGACCACAATTGGTATTGAACTTGGAGGGAAAAAGACAATAGATAATGTTAAAACCAGTTTCTGTAGTGGAACAAAATAGATCACTACAGAAACTGATACTATTAAGACCTCACTTAAAGATCACTTTAGTAGTATTGGTAATCACGATTTACAAGATAATGATACTGACCCAGATTTCCCTCCTGATGAGATTGATGATAACCGCCCTTATCTTAGGGAATTCATGTTTACATGTGAAAATGCTTTTGATGCCATCATACACTGTAAAAACAATAAAGCTTTTGGGATTGACTCAATCACTAATGAAATTTTGAAAAATGGAGATGATGCAATAGTAGATTAATTATTTTCTTATTAGAAAAGATCCCAGCTTAGTGGAATATTGGTACGATTATACCCATATTCCAAAAAGGCGATCGTCGTGACTTAAATAATTATGGAGGGATCTTGTCGAACTCTTGTGTTGCAAAGATATATAGCAGGTTAACCTCCCAGGCGGTGTCGACATTTCTCGAAAGGTATGACCAAAACCCAAGGTGGCTTTAGGAAAGGCAGAAGATGCGAGGACCATATCTTTGTCCTAAAAAGTATCATGGCCTCACGACAAGCTGAAGGAAAACACATTCTTAGCTTTTCTAGACTTCAAGAAAGCATTCGACACCGTCTGGAGAGATGGTATCATTAGTGATAATATTCTTAATATAATTAACAAACTTTATGAAAATGTTAAATGTAAAGTTTCCTTTTTGAAATTAATGAAGGTCTGTAGCAGGGTTGTTGCCTGTCACCAATATTGTTTTCCATTTATATTAACGAATTCAACAAGATGATTCGAGAAAGAAACTTGGGTGTAAATGTTTTTAATAATAGAATCGATTCATTGTTTTGGGCCAATGATGTTATTCTCATTGGCGATAGTGAGAAAGAATTGAAATTGCTTTAACAAACAGCAAGCGATTTCTCAAAACAATGGAAACTCGCATTTAATTATAACAAATCAAATGTATTAATTACAGGACAATGTAAGAATGTACTGTATATCGAAAATGGAAATTAGAGGATAATCATATTTCTGAGGTTGAAAATTATAAATATCTAGGAATGTTTATATCCAGATCCATTAATGACACAACACATGTTGAATGAAGTGATTAAAAAAGGGAAACAAATTATATCTTACATTAAATCCATTCTTGATGAACAGGAAGACTTTAATAGGGTTTACTATGGGAACCTTCTTTGGAAAACCATAGGGCTTCCAACTATTAATTATTCCTGTTCCATTTGGTTATGCAATAGTCTCTCATCGATTGAAAAAATTGAGAACCTACAGTATTTAATGGCAAGACTGGTTTTAAAAGCGCCAAGAAATATTTCAAAATAGGCCCTTTATGGTAAACTTGGATGGCAGTCTCTTGAATCCCTCCAAAATTATTATAGTCATTATCACCGTGTTCTAAATATGCATGAATCCAGGTGGCCAAATTTATTACTGAAAGCAATCAAAGCAATTGACAGTAATTTAAAATGGCAATGGCTTAATAAAATTAAACGTTTTCCTAATTGTGATTTACATAATATGTATGTAAACAATACAAGCGGATGGTTGAAAGATTTTAAAATACAAAATAAATGTAATGATATCAGGAGCTTGTTCAAGCGAAACTTAAAAAGACCAACTTCAAGGGAACCAACCAAAAATATAATGTTCGTACAAACTGCCTGGATTTAGAAGCCCTTAAGGAATCATGGCATGTTAACAATACAGACCTTTGTCTCATTTGTGAAGGAAACCATAAAGAAACAGTAGATCACTTTCTCTTTGAATGTTCTAAATTAAAACCAATCAGGGATTTAATATTTTCTGAATTGGAGAGTTCTACGTAACCATGACGTAGACATTCATTGGACTAGCTTCCTTTATGGTTCTAATGATTTTAAACATGATATATTTTTAGATGATCGGTCTGATATAGATGAAAATCTTTCAATCATCTTTGATAAATATTGTGAAAAATACATTCAACCAGCATGGAATTTAAGATCAAATATCTTTACTTTCAAGAAAATAGAGAACAAAAATAAGAGCTGGCATAGTCAGTGGGAGAAGAGGATGGATAAAATATTATTTGACTCCAATCTTTTGTCTTGGATTTTCTGTACTTTTTTTAAAATTACATCTCGGGTAAAGCCAAAAAACATTCTGTCTTTCCCAAGGCAACCGAACCACAACCTCCTTTTTTCCCCTGGGGTTGTTGAAAGGCCACACTTCCATCTGCAAATAAGATTCAACAGATTTTTAAGTTTCATTGTTTGGACTAGTGTGTTTCAGCATAGCATTGGAGTTAATTTTTACCAAGTGCAATAAAGTTTATTCAGTATTCAAGTGTGCACTGGGCTGCTGCCACTATGGGTAGCTGGTTCCACAATGAACAAACATCTTGTCTTGTATTTTTTATGTACACCTACTATGTAAATGGCTATTGGTAAAAGTATTATTGTAGACGTGGTGATATCTGCACTAAAATCTTAGTTTTCATATTTTTATTTTTTATACCTCATAAATATTAATAAGATAATAACAGTTAATTGGTCAAGTGCAGTTGTTTCAACTTACTTCCATGTGCATGCCAAATTTACAAGGGCAGGAAAAAAAGTAATACCCAAAATTGACTACTGCACCCCTGCATGTGAACCGTAAGTTAATTCTCACAAATCGAATAGTGTGCTGTTTATGAGGTATAGTAAAATAAATACAACATGGTTTTGGTAAGCAGTAAATTCTACTTCCCTCCTTCCTCGAATGATTGGGACTACACAATACTTGATGCTAAACCATGCTGTATTTTTGTAAAACACTGTACAATAATATTAGTACTGTATATTCAATGGAATTATTATATATATGATTTAAGTGCAAATAAAACATTCCGAATTAAAGCTCACAGCTGAGTAGTTTGCTTTTGTTAGATACAGTAATATATTTTGTCTCTTTATTACAGAATGCCATCACTTGTACAGTATTTATTGCTGCTCATCAAAATCATTGGATTTAAAGTTGGAATCCTTCAGTAAAACTGTCAAATTCAGTGCAAATTGTTGATTCTTGAGAATCCATAATATTGAAGATCAAAAGGTTGGGTGTCACTGTAGATATTCTTGTGAATTCTTCATATTATCAATTATTTCTTGAGCTTCATTGTAATTGATGTGATGAATATCCATGTATATCTTGATAAGGGCCTCGGCTAAAAGTACTTTCATGACATAATCCCAGTACTAAAAAAAATAAAACATTTGAAACAATTTTAACAGATGATTTTATATGAAGCTTAGGAGTAAAGAGCAATTGATTAGAAGCCTGTGCTTCATATGAGGCACAGTGAGTAAAAAGTAGATTGGGATTTGGGCTCTGTTAAGAACATAATCTCTGCTATGTGCAAACAATAGGAATAATAATGGTAAGACTTACAAAGCCCATCATGTTAAGATCTCTGCAATCCACACATTATTATTACTCCGATCATTGGATTAAATGCATATGGAATAAAGTGCCTTGTTCAAGGACACAAGTGCACAGCTAGGGACTGAAACCCCAACCTCCGACCTCAAGGTTGGGAAACCAAACCTGAGGCTCTAAGCTCACAGGATGAAGTACTCACCTCTCTATTCAATACTGTGAGAGGTTCGCCTCCTCCTGTACAAAGCTGTTTTATGCCGTTATCCATTTATTCTGCTGGGTAAAGTGTAAACTCTCGCACATCAAGGTTTGCAAACCCCCAAATAAATGAGAAAATCAAACATACAGTACAGGTACGTGGAAAAATATTTTAGAAAAATGATTCTTTGTTAGGAGTTACACAGAAGAAATTCTGTGGATTAGGTTGCACAAGTTCAGCACCAAGTGAATTCAAACAACACTCACCTTGGTACCCCTGGAGCAAAATATTTTTACCAGTATTTCAATAACAGTCTCAACTTGCTCATCGGAAAACATATGTAGAGGCACTTTAAAGTCTAAATCAGCTGGCCAAAAGACAGAGAATTAAAATGAGCAATAATATACTTAATTCCACAGAGCCATTGCAAAGACTTGGCATTAACTAAGATATTATTGTAGTGGGTTATATATTAATTTCAAGGTGGGTTACTATTAAAGGATAAAGTATATCTAGAAAACCTATAAGAAATTGAATTAAACTTTTTCAATGATTCAAACATTTATTAAATTTAAAATTAAAACAAATTACTTTTTAATGATATACACTGTATTATGAAATGAAAAAAAAATCATAATTCTTATGAATCGTTTTTCATGTTCTGATTATCAAATGGCGTTCCCCAGTGGCAACATATCTCGCTTTTTGCTGTCCATGTTTTGATCGAATTTTTGCTAATTGGTGTTTTGATATTTACATATTTTGCTGTTTTCTTGTGCTCAAACATGTTGTTGAATAGAGTATTGTGCGGATTGATGCTTTTTGTGGTATTTTGTAGCTGTTTTGGGACTGAAAGGGAGTCTAGGAATATCTACAGCTATACAGCACAATCATGCTATCGCCCGATACCTAGTAACACACAAGAGTGGACCAAGAAAGTTCAACGCAGGAAGCGAGGAAAGCCCGAGGGTATTAAGTAGAGACTTAGAACTCCAAAAACCTGACCTTATATCCCTTCAATCATTATGGGAAACATACAATCCCTATGAAACAAAATTGATGAACTTCGTGCTAATGTACTGTTTCTTTGTGAATACAAAAATGTAAGTTTGATTTCACTAACTGAAACCTGGTTTCAGGTAAATTTTTTAACTTGATGCCTACCTTTCTTGACACCACCTTTTTTGTAGTTTTCATGTCTAACACTAAAATGACTCTGAAACAAATAAATAATATGAAAAGTAAATTTAAATTTATGTACTGTATGATGTCTTGTTGAAAATCAACTAACAAATAAGGCCCAGGGACCCGCAGCGACCATAGTGTTGTGCAACCAAGATCTGTACCCTTTTTAAATAGTGAATGTATTTTTGTGCACAGATTAACGTTATTACTGAAGGAAGAGGTAATTAGAACATTGTCTTACCACAAGCAATAACAGCATTATATTTAAAAACTCATCCCCCTTGCACCAAATCCATTCCCACTGCACTAACTCGCCCTCAACATATATATAAGCATTCTACACCACTGTAGTACTGCACTTGTTGCAATTGAGATTATATACACATAATATGTTAGACTTATAGGGCTTCATGCAAACAGGCCTTTAAGCACTTCACATTATGGCCCTCTCTTCTATTCACAAAACAATAGCGTAAACGTAAGTAAACATGTTTATGAGACAACATGAAGGATGGGATCCCCTCAACTTCATTTTGACTCCATAGGATAAATAAAAATTAAGCATACCTTTCCTTGGAAAATGTCTCTTAGATATTGCTGGTTTTTCCAGACTATGAATGCAATCGCTTCTAAATTCAATCCATCTATGTTTCTATGAGGTAAAAACAATATTGTCATCATTAATATTTCATCCATACAGTATTTGGAATGTGTAAGCATTGGGCTGAGAATAGTGAGAACCCCACCTTTCAAAAAATTAATAGCAAAATGCTGGTGCACTGACAGTTTTAAAAACATAAAAACACCCTCCTCCTCCCTAGGGATTTAATTCCACACTCAGTTTTTGCACCCATCCACCCCCCCCCCCTCCCCCTCAACAGTTCGAAACCAACTTACGCCCCTTTAGAGAGAATTAATCAAAACAAATGGATGAGATAGGAATACAGTAAATTGATACAGTAGTAAGTTGATTGGCCGAACCGTTAAGCCAGGGGCACCGTAACCTTCAGCTCTAATATCGGCGCTGGTTCGAATGGCTCACTCGCCAATGGTTCCGGTGGTGGAACAAGTTTTCTCGGATAAGGACTTTAAAGCGTAGGCCCAGTGTACGCATTCGGCTTGTGTGCACTTTAAAGAACCTAGTACATCCTTCGAGAAGAGTATAGGGTTACCCTGGTGTACTGGTCTATTAAGTCCCCTGTTGTTAAATGGATATGCCACGTAGGACAGTGATTAAGTTTACTTATTGGAATATCCTTGGCGCTCGTGCCTAAATAAACGAAATGAAATGAAAAAATCTTGTTTGGAACAATTACAAAATTTCTATATTACAATCAGATAAAAATACAATATTAAATACTTTATTGAGTTGAAAATGGTAATTTATGAAGATAATCTGAAAGCATGTTTATGTTGCAATGGCAGGATATAATAACACTCACCTAACTTTGAGGACGCCTTCCTCAAGTTCTGATTCATACTCATCATCCAACAGATTGATGGTTTCAATTTCCTTGGCAACTTTCCTTTCTTCATCTTTTTTACATCCTGTTATTCCAAAACTGAACAAGCTTTTTTTCTTCTTGGAACAAGTTTGGTTGATGTTTTTTACCCAAAGTTGTGAAAACCTCTTCTTTGGCTTTAGTTGATACCTTGAAGCGGCATCATTAGTAAAAAAATTGTCTTTATTAGTTTTTGATTCACTATTTTCAACATTTGCCACTGGTCTACTTGTAGTCTGTGATTTATCTCTCATCTTAAATTTAAACTTAGATTTCTTGGAGATGGGTACTGCTACAGGATCATTGCTAATAGTGGTGTCCTTGGATTCAGAATCATAATTTAACCGGATACATTTTGTTGAAGTCTGATCCGTAAACATCTTCCTTTTTCCAAATACTGGACTGATTGGTTCAGGTGAGTTAAGATTGATGACTGCATTCTTGGTGCCATCCAGAATTACAATTTGATCTGTGGATTGATCAAAATGTGAATGCCGGCTTGTACGAAGTTGATGAGTGGAGAAGCTAACACTTGGAAGATCATCTCCAGATGTGTCAGTTGTAAAATCCATCAAAGTGTTTGAAATAAGCTCTTGTGGGTGTTTTACAGCATTTGCTTCTCCTTCATGAGAGTGGTAGCCATTTTTAGAAGTGATGATATTATCCTCATCATCATCACTAATCAGCTCAGGTGACATTGCAATTTCATCTTGCTTCCGATTGGATGGATTTGAATACCTAATTTGACCTGCCTCATCATAGCTTGATGTTACCATTTCAACATCAATGTCTCTTTTAACAGATCCCACTTCTCTAACATCAAACTGCTCATTCACACAAACTTCTAGGAAGTCACTATCACCATTGGGTGAACTACAGTATTCCCTGTACTCATAAGCCAACGGTGAGGATTTGCTATCAGTCTCAATATTAGTAATACATGTATCTCTCTCAAATCTGACACACATTTTTTCAGATATTCTACGTAACCGATTACTAGAGGATACTTCATTTCGTAGACTTCTACTGTTGTCTTCACTATGTTTTGAGATCCTTTGAGCAGATTTTGAAGAACCAATTATCCAGCTATCATTTGACAAGTCTGACAATAGATCTACATTATTATCCTCCTGTTCTGTGTTATTCATAAACAAATCAGTATCTGAACTTTCATTATCACTCTGGCATGTATATAATTTTGGAGCTGTAACTTTGTTTTTATCTGTTTCAATAACTTTAATGAATGGTTGATTTTGGTAACCTGGCGACCTGGATGATAAGCTATCTACTATCCTGACCTCACCAACGCCTTCATGACTTTGTCTATGTGTTTCTTGTTCTCTAATAGTGTCATTATTTACGCTTGTCTTGGAAGAATCTTGAAACCCAACATTTTTCACAATGGCATCAGCTTCTTCTGTTATAGTTAGGTTAATTTCTGTGCTGCAAGCTGTTTTTTCAATTATCACTTCGCTCACATTTTCTTCTGTCTCTTATACACATCTTGCTAATGTACTGTTTCTTTGTGAATACAAAAATGTAAGTTTGATTTCACTAACTGAAACCTGGTTTCAGGTAAATTTTTTAACTTGATGCCTACCTTTCTTGACACCACCTTTTTTGTAGTTTTCATGTCTAACACTAAAATGACTCTGAAACAAATAAATAATATGAAAAGTAAATTTAAATTTATGTACTGTATGATGTCTTGTTGAAAATCGGCCTTGGCCTCTTAGCCTAGTCCAAGGCTATTTCAGCCTTATTAGCTCTTGTTGTCAAATGCAAATGCAATTGTAATGCCATTATTTGATTATTGTGATTGCATTTGGTCCAACACAACTAATAATCACTTAAATGAACTTCAAATTTTCAAAATAGGCTGGGAAGAATTCTTTTATCTATTGATATTTATACTCCCATTCTTACAATCATGATTGAGTTGGGTTGGGAAAGATTGGTTGACAGATGGAATGAACATCTTCTATTATTAACTTTCAATTGTTTAAAAGAAAAGGCCCCATCTTATTTATGTAATAAATTTATCTTCAACAACAATAATCACCCTCAATGTACTAGGAATAAGTCTAATAACAACTTGATTGAACAAAAATGGAATGGAGTACAAGGCAAAATGACATTTTTATATCGTGCAACTAAAGCATGGAAAAGCCTTCCAAATGAAATTAAAACAATATTTAATGAACTTTCCCTACAGTCTTTTAAAAATCATTTAAACGATATAAAATTTAACTCTATTTACTCTCTTCTAGACAAAATATTGAATCAAAAATTTACTGATTTTCCTTTTTGCCTTTTCCAATTTTGTTGCAAGTTTTAAGCTATTTTGTTTTCGATGCAGTAGTTTTATATTTATGTACATATTGTTTTTCTTTAACTCATTAGCTTTGTTTTAAGTTCCATTTCTTTTTTGATTTTGGTTCTCTTTTATTCTTTTTACATGTGATCCACTTGTGATACCAGTGCTACCTCACTGAAAGTGTTATCACACAAAAGCCAGAAATAAATAAATAAATAAATTTTAAAAAATTGTTCCTTGCAGTAAAAAAAATAAATAAAATAAAATGCCGAACCCGAACTTTGTAAAATTTGGGTCGGTTGGGCGTGGCCAACACAATAATTTTTTTTTATTTGGCTTAATACTGTAATGCACAAGAATACGTTAGTTGGGTACAAATTTTATGGATTTTGCAAGTTATGAGGTCATGATCTTGCAATCTGATATGCACCATAATGACTGTACTAAAAATAATGACTCAAGTTGACTTACATCCTCTTAAGCTTGCATCTCTTCTTTTGTGCAGACTCAGTAGCCAATCCCTCAAATGCCTGACATTTGTTAAAATAGTCACTTATGGCAACTTTTTCTCTTGACAACTGAGAAGATGAATTTAAGAGAATTGTTGTTGCTTTATCTTCAACTGATGATGTTGTTAATGGACACACTGTCACTTTCAACTTCTCCTCGAACAAACACAAAGATCTGAATTTATCATCTACAACAAGTAAAATAAAAAATAATTAGGAATGTACTTTATATTTTGGTTTTGCTATTTAATGTATTTTGATGAATGTCAGGCTTCAAAGGAGAGAAGTTATTTCAGACTATTTGGGCTCTCCAGTTTTAGCTGGTTTTATCAGTGTTTATACAGAAATAAAACAAATATTTTACTAATGGTGAAAATTATTTTAAAGATATTGACTATCTATATTTGGTTGCTTACTTATGTTTAAGTATATTGTTAGTTTGAATATGAACAAAAGATATCTTCTTTGCCTATTAACAGCTGCACAAGTAATATGGTTAATATGGTTTCTATATTTTTTTGCAGACCCCTCACTTGGCCTGCAGGCCAAATTTTGATGGTTGACACTACTAAACTCTGACCCTGATTTTCAAACATCACTATGTTTGGGCAACATATTTCCTTTTTATTTTGGTATACTGTAATAATAAATAAAAAAAATAAAAATGATACTGTTGCATTTATACAGCACATAATGCCTAAGCTTTTCTGCATTTTACATGAAAAAGACCCACTGATATCAAGACAATGTTGCTATTTATCAACATAATCATAATAATAATTGACATAATCAAACTTACCTGTATTGTCTGGGATAACAAATGGTTGATTCATTTCTTTATTTACAAACTGAAAGCCAAACTTCATGGTTGTTCCTGGTATTTAGAGATATGAATACATTAAAGGATCGTAACAAGGGTCTGACAAAAAACACAACATGCACAAAATCTTCGCAGGAAGCATGTACGCAGCAAAGATTGTACTGTACAGTAGTACCCTATATTCTTGTGTATAAGGCAACCCCCATATAAGACAACCCCCAAAGAGAATATATAAACTGTACTGTATATCTAGGTATATCTATTTCATAAAATTATTTCATCACTTAAAATACATATGCAGCCAAAGGCTGAATTGTTACATTTTTTTAAAAAGGACATTAAAAGGCATAAGTTATTCAAAGAAATATACATCAGAATTAGAACATTAAGAAAAGACCCCCAGTTTTTCAATGGTAATTTGCTATTTTGAGCTTCGTCTTTACAAGAGAAAATACGGTACTTCATGTGAAGTGCCTGGTGGCCTTATTGAAATATTTGCTATAAAAGACCACTACAGTACTCAAAAAACATCAAGCAACAATATTATCATTATGATTGAAAATACTTACCAGTTCCTATCTCAACTTCATCTTGTTTGGTCTTCTTATCTTTTGAAAGTTTTACAGACAATCTTTTTTGAATTGGTTCTTTTAACGTCATCAATAATTCCTTTTTATTCAAAAAACAAAAATGGAATTATTGCACCATGAGTGAAATTTTATTATTTGTACAGTGTATTATGAATTTGGCATTCTCTTTTAAGCCCCTTTAGAAAATTTGTCAATTGTAGTAACCTGGAGAGTGCATAAAACTTAGCCTACTTAGCACCATGCTTTATAACATTGGGTCATAAGACTAAATATTTTTCATGAAATCTCAAATTCCCAAAGAAACCATTTCAATAAAATATACCAGTAGAGCATATTACCTGCATTAAAAGGTCATTGAACCACCCACTTTCTCCACTGTTCTTGTAATATATGCTGAGTTGTAAGAGCAGGACATGGTACTTTCCAATCTGCGACAGAAGAATATAAAAATAATGATTACTTCATGGAAGTTCAATCATTACATGTAAATAAAAAACATAAACAAATCAAGTGAAAATGGCAAAAAGACTCAATGCAGTTTCAAGAAGGGGGTAAGAGGCTGACAAGGATCAGACCTGGGCAACATCAGAATAAACTCCCTAAAATGATGAAAATAAGTTAAAATTGAGACAGCCCTCTTGCCAAACCCATTTCTCCTAGTAAAATTACAAATTGATTAAAATAGTACATTTCACCCTCATTGAATCTCCAGTTTAACTTCCTACATGGAGATTTTTGGAGGATCCAGTAAACCATACCAAATATGAAGTACTGTACATAAAAAAGGAATGTTTGACTTTAAACACTTAAAAAATGAACTTACAGAAAAAGGGATTGCCCTTGATGATGAAAAAAAAAATTTGTAAATTTTAAAATTACAAATTTATTGAAATAGCTGACTTCACCCTCACTGAACTGTAACGTTGTTAGCGAATGTTGAAATTGAATTCATGTTTTTTTTTATGTTGACTCTGTAGAGTAGATGTTTACTAGACAATACAGCCCCATTCAAAATATTAGAATTAGATATAATCAGGGATCACAACTGCCTGATGCAGTTGATATAATACTTATTATGAAAATAATACTGCAAGGAAACTTTTGAATCCAGTTTAAAACGTATTCATTTATTGAAACTACTGTACAACATACCATCAGGATTTCTACCCAAATAAATATGTGCCTAAATTATGCTTATGCCTTGGTGTAAGCATAGTCAAAACTGTAAAGTAATTTAATTGCCACATTAATTTGTTGCCACACAGCCTTTTGCCACTCGTCTTAGACCTGTTGGTGCCACCTGGCCTTTTGGCATGTCCCTAAAGTAGTAGTAGGCCAAGATAAGATACGAAAGATAAACTTTATTGCTCCAAAGAAGGAAATTCTGTATTTGCATTAAAATAATTGACAGTAAAAATATTAAAACAATGACCGAAAATGCAGTAAAAAAAATACATTAATTAATTAATTTTAATTAATGATCTTGATAGGCCTACAGTAGAGGCCTCTCTCAGAGCAGGGAGTTGAAATAACAATTCCCTGTTCACTCAGAACCTAAGGTAGGTACAAATCGCGACGCCACACTTCCTAGTTTTGGTCACTTGTTCAAATGGTGGGCTTGCACTACTGGGTCAGTGTGTTGGGTTTAAAAAATCTTTAAAAATATGTTTTTTCATTGGATAATACTGATGTCATACAATAATATATAATAATAATATGGAGATTAAAGGTCAAAGAAAGGTTACAAATTTTTTTTATCCATCTCTTATTTATAGGTTTGTTAAAATCCACTTCTTTAGCAGAAGGAAAGTTGGAAGAGTTTAATTATTATATCTACTTGTTAGTTAATTACATGATTGTAGTTTTGACCAAGTATGAAGAAATTTTTTTCATTAGGAAAGTGTTATTTTAGGATGGAAAAATATATATATCCACTACTGAGATGCTGGTAGTGGGGGTAGGTGTTGGGGAGAGAGGAAGGCAGTGTGAAAAAAAATGTTGATATGTTGTAACTGATTTTTCTAAGACAGAAAAAAGTAGTTTGATCAAAAACTGAGCAACGGTGAATGAGATACAGATTTTTTAATATTTAAAAACTGGGGGAAAAAGGGGCGTAACCGCCCATTTTTACACCTAGTAGTTAAGGGTTGTAAGTGCCACCGCTACACAAAATCTGTGAAGAAAATAATAGGCCTAGAGACATATTAGAAATAAAGTTTCAACTTGTTATAATTTTAGTTTTTGTTCTATAAATGTCAAAAGGTCACATTGTTTGCACATAATCCCTCTATACCATATTTCCGGAAAAATAAAATATTTAAAAAAATCATAGAAAATTAACTAGTAGCAAGATTTCAATCGAATAAACATTGTTTTTAATGTTTGAATGTTGTAGAATCTTTGATATATTTGTTTGTTTGTTTTTATTTATTGCTCTTTCCATACAAAAATCAAATAACCAACCAGAAAAAAAATCACCAATACATAATAATAATACATCATAATCAATCAAAAGAAGAAAGGCGAGGCAAGGAATGAAAAAAAAAAAATCAAAACTTTCATAAAATCAGAAACAACAGTAGTAGTAGTAGGTACTAGTAGTACCAGATTCCTAGGAGGCATATCTAGGACCTACTCTATAGCAACAGTAGCCTAGGCCTCTAGCTGGGCCGGTTAGGCTAGCCTACTAGGCCTCCTCCTCTAGTAGGCCTACCTTGCCTAGGCTAGGCCCCAGGTAGGCCTACTACTACTAGACTAAAGTACTAGGCCTAGGCCTAACTTTTGTACAAGTAGAAGCTATACTAGCTAGGCCTCCAGGCTACTCTATTTAATATCGTTTTACTTCACAAAAAATAAACTTTTAATAATGCTATTTACAATCATGTATGAATTCTCACTTACCCGCAAAATATAGCTTTTTCTGCTAAACATCTTTTGGTATTTTGGAAACCCCGCGAAAAAAAAACAAAACAACGTGACCTTTACCCTTTAACCCCACGACGCGATTTACTTTTTCAACCGGTGTATTCGACCTTTTTAACGTTAACCATGGCTGCTGGTGTGAGTGTCTTTGTATTCAGTTTAACTATCGGGGTTTTTCTTTTTAATCAATATTGTTTATGGATTTTTGTTTAGACAGTATTAATATATAATATATATATTTTGTCTTGAAAAGTTTATTTTTGATTGATTTTTATCAGACATTGTACACATATCCAGATAACTTCAGGGCTTACAAGGTGCAGATTGCTGCAAAATACAGTGGTGCTGACGTAAAGGTTGTGCAAGATCCACCAGCTTTCAAACTTGGGGAGACAAACAAATCTGCAGAATTTCTAAAGAAATTTCCTCTCGGAAAGGTAAACGGAACAAACTGTTGTTTATTTATAATGTGTATATCTTTCTAGGCCTAAGCATTTTGCGTGAATAGGATTCCATTTTTGTTGTTCAATGTTAGACGTTTGAGATTTTTGGTTGAGCGAATGATTTTCGAGCAAATTATTCATTGTAACGCGCGTTATTGTAAATCCCAGGTCAAGTTTGGTTGTACAGGTATGCCAAATTCGTGGGTCCAGACAATTGATTGTTGTTCTATATTCAAAATATTTTTTTTTGGTCCACCAGCATGGATTTAGAGCAGGTTGATTGTTGTGCACTACAGAAATGTTTGAAGTACTGTACTGGGCAGGTAGTTGATCAGCGGAACCAAAAGCCCGCTTAAAGCCCCATTTTAGAAAAAATGCATATGCATTACTCTATTAAAACAATGGAAAAATAACATTGACATAAATTTTAGTTCAACAGAAAAGAATAAAAAAAAAAACGAGAAATACAGACTATTTCTCATAGGAGATTACCATTTTCTCGTCAAATTGTTTGTTACTAGGCAAATTCAGGTTGTAGATCGCATCCGCTGGAATGCTCTCAGTTTTATGTATACTTTATATATATAAAGTATTAATTCCTGATGATGACATAATTAATGTCGAAATATTAATCCCGACACGATGGCGTGCATTTCGATAATTGGAGTATGTATTATACTATCTTATCTGAGATTAATCAGTGGACCTTTCGGTTTTTGGAACATTATCCTTATTCCATTTCAAGATATAGCTAATTGAAAATGGAACTTTACAAATATGTCATCATTGAAAGCTAAAACAGATTATGACCCTAAATTTAAAATGGCTATAACTTCTAAACGACTTGGAATTGGCAAGTCAGTTTGATGCATGTGTGATGCGAGTTTCAAGAAAATCGGAGATGGTACCCAGCCAAGATTTTCTGAAATGTAGTTGGAATGCATGGAATGAACCTTGTGCAAGTCCATGATTAAATCTTTATTCAATGATTATTGAAAACAGCACATTTCTTTCTGAAATGGATGTATATTATACACATGCACTTGTGGTATTTCTAGTTACTTAATTAGATGATCCTTTGTTATTTTAGGTCCCAGCTTTTGAAGGAAATGATGGAACTTTACTCACTGAAAGCAATGCAATAGCTTTCTATGGTAAGCTCTCATATTCAGTTATTTTTTTCTGTACACTGTACATCAAGAAAATGAATAACTATTGAAGGAAAACATTGAACAATGTAAATAGATTAAATAGATTTACAGACAGATGAGACGAAACTGCCCTGTAAACCGAAGTTGGTCAATTTGTTTTTACAGGAGTTCACCAGTCTCCCGATAAGAAAGTTATTTCAGTAATTTTGTGGATTGTGGTAATCATGCAAGATGGAGGATTGTGGGGAATGCACACAAGTGTTTCTGACTTCTGAATGATTATTTTCAATTTTTGGTAATGCACATTGTCAGTTGTAGTTCTGGTGACCCCTCCCCCTGATACTAAATAAATTCTATCATTAAGTCAGTCGATCAGTCAATTTTTTCTACGATTAATCAATATGCACTTTTCCAAACTTCCATGGAAATCTGCCTAGTGGTACGCATGCGTAGTGCTTCCATCAAGCAAGCTCATCTCCTTGACCTTGCTCTCGCGTGCTTCTCTGATTCAGACATAGGCTAGACTGATGGGCTAAACCTTCAAATTGTTTTTGTTCCGCTTTGTATGTTGGCTAAAGTAGGCCTTATTATCCAATCATTTATTAGCGGGACATTTTACCGGGACTAGGTAATATTTCCAACGCAGGACTTAGCTTGGGATGTACATTAAAACAATGCCCCGCATTGCTGGGAGGTGGCTGGGACTTTCACATTCACGTAACTGTTTCTTAAGTTACATCCCCGGCTAAGTCCCCGCTAGGCCCAGGGGCTGGGACTGCAATTGACAAGTGCATAATAGATTTTACTTTGTATTTCGGTCATGTGCAATTAATTTTATAAACAATTGAAGTAATATTTACAGTACCGCCACAAACTATTGCAATTTTACCTGCACGCAGGCTTTGTAGATACATCATAGCCTGATATAAACAATCTAAGCAAGGCTACGCGAAGCGAACCTACAAGCAAAAGCATGTTGTTTATTTGTATGTGCAGAAAGACTGCTGTAGCTTACTGGAATAAACAATGTATTGCTTGATATTTGTGAATGCCAAGCATGAGTTTAGACCGTTCATTTAAAGTATGGAGCTGTTTTTCAATAAGAAAAACGTACACTTGACTTCATGGGAGTCTCCTCTTCCACTCGCTGTCAACGACAGGAACTTGTTTGTACTGCTGTATTATTTTTTTAAATTAATTAGCCTAGCCTAGGCCTAGCCTATTTTTTATTTACAATTACTTTACCTCTTTTAAATGTCAAGAAATGATGTCCTGAATGACAATACACACATGTGAAAAGATTATTCATCAAATAATATTTTTTAGTCTTAATTTAGTAAGATAAATAATAAATATAAAGGAGAGTTAACGTCTGTTGGTTGTAAAATTACCGAATGTCACATGGAAAACCCAATGGAAAATAAAACTTGCAATGTCAGTTCATCTTGTCAACCCCGAAAATCCAGCATCGGACGTCAGAGTGCGTGCCAATCAGAACACAGTTAAGTGTGTTAAAGGTCAACCAAGTGGCAAATGTTGAAAAGCTGTGAGCTATAGTGAGTAAAAAACGAAGAAATTTGCGGTCTAGCATCACTAGCCTTAATTCGGCAAGGTAGTAATTTCTATAGTTCCATTAGTGTTGGATCGCTTGGCAGGTTCTGCTTCAAATTACGTTAAACAATAAACAGCGTGATCTGTAGAAATCGTATAATTTGTACATGATTTGTCATCAGTATTATTATTTAAAAGAAGAAAATTCCTACTACCAGAACAATAATATCAGATCAAAATTCTCCGAATTGGAAAGTTAACCAGTATAATTACTCTCTGCTCTCCTCCTCTATATGGGAAAATGTAGGCCGTAGGCCTAAATGAAATGAAATTTGAACATACTGAGGGCCCACTAGGTTACCTAGCTAGCGAACTAAACACAGTTTTAAATCATGATCGATCTAATAAGGTAGGAAATAACAAAATAAAGTTCTAACATTGTTTATTAGTAAATTGCAACATTGCTCACGTGTTGAAAGCTGGTAAACTATATTTCAATATTGTTTACGCATTGTTTATCACACCGACGATCCAGCCTATGATCATTGCAAAGCTAATTAAAATAACATTGACCTTCGTAGTGGTTCGTAGCTACGTTCAAAACGAGCAGATTACGCGCAGATACGAAGCGATAATTTCTGTCTGTACTGTACTTTCACAGGCCCTATAAAAATAATGTAGAATTGGGAGCACAAGGAGGCACATGAACTGATTGAAAGTTACAATAAACTTTGTTTGCTTGACATTTTTTTTTTGTACATAAATGCCCTTGACTCTACAAAATGTATTGGCAACCCTGATTTGGGTCGTGACCCGTAGTTTGAATATGAGGGCTTTGTATTCAGTTAATAGTTAGTTTTTTTTAGTTAATACTGTAGGTAGTTTTTTTCAAAATGGTTTTATGTATAAATAAATTAAAGTAAATTGGTTGCTGGTCAAGTAGTCTAAATGTTTAGAAAAATAGTGCAAATTTATTTCCGTTTATTCTTGGCAGTTGCCAACGAGACCTTAAGGGGATGCAGTGTGCAGGAACAGGCTGCTGTGCAGATGTTTGTGAACTTCGCTGACAACGAGATTATGCCATCAGCATGCACCTGGGTATACCCAACACTTGGCATCATGCAGTTTAACAAACAGGTTAGTTGGCAAGTGCGCAAACTGTGGAACGTTTGTCTCTTGTGACCCAGCAGAAGTTTTGTCATTACAAAAAAGCTGTGATTTCCATTTCAAGGAGAATTATTCATTTAAATAAAGATCTTTGATGTTAATGTTCAAAATATTAAAAACCTTGAATAGAAGCCCTTTGCTTCTTTTATTTTTAGGACACCTGGATTTACTTCTTTTCAGGTTAGTTTGCAAACTAAAGAGAGGGCTTCTTTTCAATAGTAATGCTGTAAATATTTGAAATTGCTACTAATTGACATATTCCAAATATGGAATTCGAAATATTAAAATTGTATTATTTGTAATCATGCTAGTACAATAAAATAATAGTGATAAAGATGCGCTGTCATAATCATTAAAGAAAACGTCAGTCTTAATGTCCCCATCTCGAAAAGAAGCCCATACTATTTTGGTTAGAAGCCCTTGGGATTCTTTTCGAGATTTGCTTTTTAATCTCCAGCATCTCATCATTCCATTAAATCAATAGATTTAGGATTTGGTAAATTAAGTTCTTTTTGATGTTGTACAGTATTTCAGTTTATTGGAGTGTTTATATATTTTTAAATAAATGTAAATTATTGGACAAGTATGTTAACATTGGATTCTGTCCTAAATTGTTTGGTGAGAGTTCACACCAGGTCTTCTTGTATTCAAGAACACAGAGCGTGCCAAGGGGGAACTGAAAAATGTTATGTGTTACCTGAATGAGCATTTGAAGACACGAACTGTGCTAGTAGGAGAAAGAGTCACCCTTGCTGATATATCTGTCGCCTGCAATCTCTTGATGCTTTATCAACAGGTAAAAATGAAATTAATAATACCAATTTAATAGCAAGACCTTTAATTTTATTTCAACCATTAAGGTCCTCATTGTTGAATTATTTACTATAGTGTGAATAGGTTTTTTATTGGTAATGTTGTGATTTGTTCTTGTATTGATCTTAATTACTCTAAAGTTAAGTCACTTGATATTTGTTCTGAAATTCACCACACAAACTATAGGTTAGAATTTTACAAGTTTTATAAACATTGGCTAGCCTACTGTATCAAGCCAAATGGTTTTGTTTATTGTTAAGTTGAATTGATAATTTACACTCAAATCTAAGACAATTCAATGTTTAAATCTACAACTTCCAAATGAGCCACATTCTGCCATTGTATCCAGCATAAGCATACTTGACTGTTAACACTGTCAAGAACATTTTGAAATATTTGTATGAATTTGTTCTTTGCCTGCAAATGATGACTTTGTTTCGGGACGTAATCCTGATTTATATTGATGAACGAACAGCTGATGCAGGCATTTCAGATGGACATCATCAGCATCCCCATTTACAAAGTGAAACATTCATTGTCAAATTGTCCATTGCAGTTGTGTATCAAAGGGCTATTGACCCAACATGTCATTTTAAAAGATGGACATTCTTTACTGTACCCACATTCTAATAAATAAGGCTAAATAAAAAAAAATATTGTGTTTTAATTTTAAATATACATTTTCAAATGGTCTTTGTTGTAATTTTGTGTATTTTCTATTTAGGCATAAAAACATTTTTGGTAAACTAAAAAAAAAAAATTTTCCTACCAACCTACCAATTTTTTTGATCTTCCCAAAACGTGGCCAACACAAGAATATTTTTTTTTTTTGGCCTAATTCCTGTACTGTACTTCCAAAGGTATAATGTAATACTTAGAATCACTCTGTGATTCAAAGTTCTATGGTGGGTAAATATTTGGTTAATTTTAACCAAAAGTTAATTTCAATGTTTCGTATAAATTTCTGCCGTAGGTATTTGATCCAAGCTTCCGTCAGCCTTATGGTAACGTCAACCGGTGGTTCATGACAATTGTCAACCAACCACAAGTCATTGATGTTCTTGGGAATGTGAAGCTCTGTGAAAAAATGTCTCAATTTGACGGTGAGTTTTCTGAAAGTTGTCAAATAGAATTTCTAATACTAAATTGTAAATTTCATTCATCATAATAATGCATTAAATTGAGTGTTAAAAAAGTTACATCTATTATATATCCATTGTGTATCATCGATTAAATCAGCTGTAATAAATAAACGAGATGAAACTATTTGAATATATGACTACGTATTATAAATTTTTAAAAAATGTATTTACTTGTAGCAAATTTGTGCTGGATGAATGGAAACGAATGTATTCTAATAACCCAGTAGATGTTGCATTGCCATGGTTTTGGGAAAATGCAGATTTTGAAGGCTATTCTATTTGGTTCTGCGAGTACTTATACCCTGAAGATCTGAAGATGGTGTTCATGGCCTCAAACTTAGTCTCCGGTGAGTAGTTGGCTGAGAATTTTTAAAAGGACTCTGAGGCAGAGAAGAGGGATGTGCTAAACACATTGTATTCTGACCATTAGCCGGCCAATCTAAATATATCCACTATTCAGGGTTCTCACCAGCATTTTGGAGGGGTGGTCGGCAACCACCCCGACATCAAACCGAGATTTTCCTCTTTATTGTTTTATGAATGAACAGTCGTCGAAGACAAGCTAAACCAAGTGGGGCTGATACATTAGACACATTTTATTTTATTTAAACGCTTTATTATCACATAATAAGGTGATGAATAAAAACACTAAACACTGATGTGATGTGATTGATGGTATTATTTTGTCTGGTGCTTGGTTTTGTCGAATTGTATATATATTGCTTTCATTACCTGTTCCTGTAGTACACAAATTCTACGGCCAAAACTGCCAGAAAGTGTCTTTTTTTGTCTTAACCAAGGAGCTAACTAGAGCTTCTGGGAGTGTTAATATTTTTATTTGACTTTGCATGGTATGGCCCAAATTAGACTGGCTCCACCACTGCTCGAGGATGTATAACCTCATGGGGGTAGCAAATAGCCGCAATTGTGATCAATTTTTAAAATATTTTTAATGCCGATGACCTCGTCATGGCGTTGGATGCCTGAGGAATTCACGCTGGCTTCACCACTGCTTGGAGGTGCAGTACGACATTGTAGTTAGAGCCCCAGCATGAAAACTTTAAAGGAATGTATTAATGATAACGTCAGTAGGAACCACGGTCCCCATCAGTGTCTGGTTAAGATCTCCCTCTCTTTTGTCTTGTGCAATATTCCTCCTTTTTATGCCCTTGGGTTGTTTTTATTATTTTTGTTTTATGGGTATTTTCATATTTTGTGCGCATTTTATTGTGATTTTTTTCAGCTGATTGTTATTTTTTTTGTTTTTCTTAATGTTAACTTCAATGTAATTCTGTATTTTTAAATAATGTGTGCTTTTTATTGTGTTTTTCTGGCTGTTTGATTGTTCGAATTTTATTGTACTGTATATTATAATGTTAACATCAATGTAATTCAGTTTTTTTACTGTGATTTTGATGAATAAAAATACTTGAATACTTGAATACATTGTCAGGAACATTTTGAAATATTAGTATACTTTTGTTCTATACCTGCAAATGATGACTTTGTTTCGGGACGTAATCCTGATTTGTATTGATGAACGAACAGCTGATGCAGGCATTTCAGATGGACATTATCATATCAGCATCCCCATTTACAAATTGCAATGCACTTCTTTTTTCACTCCTTGAACAGTCTCCCTATTTCAATACGTCTGTCTCCTACACTCCAATCTTTTAGAACATCATTATTAAATACAACACCTTCATGACAGTCCAGCCCTACAAATCATGTTTTAATAACTAACTGAATTCACTTCAATGCAATATTTTGATCTTCATTCATTATTATTGTTATTATCTTTATTATTACTTCTTTTATTATTTATTTATTTTTATCTGTATTATTATTATTATTATTAATATTATTATTACTATTATTATTATTATTAATTAAGAGGCGCTTACTATATAATTTCAAAACATAATTTAATGACAAGAAAGATCGACGTTTTGGGTCCATCATGGAACCATTCTCAAGATCAAGTAAATTGAAAAAACTAAAAACAAAAATACCAAGCAGTGACAGGAAGTAAGTAATTACAGTAATTAACATATCAATAGGGCTCCACCCAGTAGGCCCTATTGATATGTTTGTTAATTACTTCCTGTCACTGCTTGGTATTTTTGTTTTTAGTTTTTTCAATTTACTTGATCTTGAGAATGGTTCCATGATGGACCCGAAACGTCGATCTTTCTTGTCGTTAAATTTTGTTTTGAAATTAGTATTATTATTTATATTATTATTATTATTACTATTATTATTTTTATTATTATTATTTTTATTACAGTATTATTATTTTTATTATTATTATGTCTTTGCCTTTATCATTGTTTCTCTGGTAGGCATCTTGTACAGGAACATGTTCCCTTTTTTGCCTACCAGACTCATTTCATTTTGAGTGAAATAAAATTATGAATTATGATTTATGAAACATCTCGTAGGACCGACAGATTCACAGTAATGACATTCCATTGCAGTCTGTTTTTTAATTCTGATTTGCAATCAATAATAATAATGATGATAATTATATACTATATTTACTGTAGATAGTAATTTATTTATTATCTCATGTTGAAGGTGCATTACAAAGATTGGATAGCATGAGGAAGCATGCATTCGCCAGTATATTAATTCTTGGAGAGAACAAGAACACCAAAATCCAGGGCGTTTGGTTTTGTAGAGGTCAAGATCTCATTTTTGACGCAAGTTTCAATTTTTCTTTAATTTTTAGTATAAAAATGGGGACTGTATTTTTGTGGTTAGACTTCAACACCATGGTCCTAGGTTGTAGATACAGTTTATTTGTTAAACCTTATAACAAGACTTCGTTAATATAGAGCAGAATTTCCAACACAAATTATTATTCATAAAATGAATTAGTTAATATATTACTGAAATACATATACAAATTTATTCAAAGAAACCAGCCTTTTCTGTTATAGTTATTAATGCCAGATGGTGTACAATCAACATATAAATGCTAAATTGTTTAATGTCTTGACGTTGCCATAATCACTGTTTATTCAGTTCTTTTACCCTAGGAATCAACAGTGTTGTTGATCTGCAGATATATGTGCCAGAGCAGAATGAGAAGTGGGTAATAAATATTTCACAGATGGAATGAATGTGTTGCCTTTTTTAACATCTTGGTGCTTTTTCGCGCTGCACCTTTAGGCTGTAACGATTAAGAGGAAATAGTCATTAAGAAACTGTAGGTAGCAGTAGCTTTTACCACGAAGAAATGGGAATTCCGAACTTAGCAATGCGCATGCACAGTTACCAAAGAATGTCCGTGAATTTTGGCTATCTTTATAGCCAGTTCATCAGCTGGAATTGTAATTAAATTATCGCAAAAGAAGTATATTAGGCTCTGTCATCGTACCTATGTAGGTAGACCTATGCATTGACAATCCCATAAAAAGTAACCACAGAAACTGAGGACAACCTAGCCCCTACTACAAGCCAAGTAGTAGAGCCAGGTATTCCACATTTAATGTAAAAAAATATGGTGCTTTGCGCTGAAGAGGGTAAGGGTTAGCTAACTATTATCAAGATATCGTACGGTTCCCATGTTTTATCGACCCATAAAAAATAACCACACACTGGCGGCAGTAGTAGAAAGGCCTAGCCAAGCTAGTGGTGGAGGGGAATGAATACAAATAAATAAAATAAAATAAATATTATTATTAATATTACAGTAATAACAATAATGGTAGAAATGCGGTTTGGCTCAGTGGTTTTAATTCTGGTTGTTGAACTTGTAGTCTGCAGGAGTGCAAACAAATACAAACAGTAACAGACCCCATGGATGGCAAAACGAATAAGGGAAAACAAGTGATTTTTAATCGAGTTATTCTTTCCAGTAGAAACAGGCCCTTAGATGACCCACCCTTTGATAATTCCATATTTTACACATAGGATAAATTTGGAAATAGCTGTATACACAAATTGAATAAGCTACAGAAGTTGCGGCGTTTTTTTTTTTATAGGAAATATTTCTTGTTAATATTTTTGTGATAAGTTTTCAGAACCTAATTAAAATACAGAGCTGCATATTGGTGATGAAGCCCGATACTCACTGGGGCCCGACGATTGTTGGCCAACACGATTCTATGGAGAATGCAACACCACAACGCGTGCAACAGATCGTTTTTAAAGCTGGTTTTGCACAGGCGAATTTATTCGCGCGAATCAAAGCGTCGGTTTGCTTCCTGTGCTCTGATTGGTTGCGCATTTTTTCGCTTCGCAAAAACTCAGATAGGAATGTGAATGCACATGCGCATTAACCGACGCTTTCGATTTGCGCGAATAAATTCGCCTAGTGGAAAACCAGCTTTACGATAATCTCTTCAGCCTGGCACTGACATTCACCAGACTGTGTTTAAGGCTCACATGGAATGGAGTTGGATTTGTTGGCGTTGTAGTACAAACCAGGGAGTGCCTGGCTTACGATAGTTGAGATTGGAAAAAAGAAAAAAAAAACAAAAAACAAGTCGGCCCAGATTGCTTGCAATCCCTAAAACTATTCAATTATAGAATCTAGCTACCACTAAGTTTAAATTGTATCCATTAGAAGTGGCAGGCGATAGTTGTAGCGGCTCAGCAGGTTACCAGCTGCTATTTTGCCCATCTGAATGTACCATGTTTTTCTAAATTCCTTCGTCCCAACCATGGTGGGGCTAAGATGGGTGCCCAGGCGGAGTAGTGGCTCTGCAGCAGGTTGCCAGCTGCTATATCTGGGCATCTAGAGGTGCCATTTTTTAAAAATAATTTGCTCACCTCACCCTCAAACCATATTGTGGCTGAGTTGGGTATGTTGTATGGACTTAAACCCCCCCCCCCCCTTCCTC